TATGTATTATGCCCTTTAAAATGGGTATAAAAACCTTTTGGCCTAATAAACCCAATAATAAACAATAAAAGCATTTACTGAACATTTATTACTGAGTGGGTGTTATTCTAAGTAACTGGCATGCATTAACTCATTTAATCCTCACAACAAACTGATATGCTCCCTATCTGCAGATGGTAAATGTGAGGCACTTGCCTTCCCCAGCCCCTGGCTAGGAACTCAGGAAATCTGGGACTCTTTGGACTGAAGGAGCCTGCTTTCCTACAATCTCCCCTAGGAAGTCATTACAATGTGTGTGAACCCGAAAGCATGCAATGATTTATGTCCAAGGGTACGCACTAAGGTTGTAATCAGGAAAAATTAAAAGCCATCTGAGCGTGCAATAGCAGGGCAGGCAGAGTGATTACGGTTCCTCCACACTGGAGATGCCAGGCAGCCAGTTCAAACTGTTTCTGTGCTGGGCTAAGCAATGGTCCGCCAAATGTCCATTGCTCACCCCCAGAAACTGTGGACATTACTTTAGACAGACTTTACAAGGCACTCTGCAGGGATGGCTGCCCTCAGGGCCCTGGGGCTTCCTTCTTACGCAGTAGGTGAAGTGTTCACAGCAGCCCACCAGGGCAGGCAGCCAGAGGTATGATGATGGGTGCAGGGCACCGAGCGAGGAGCCCCGGACACTGAGGGACCCCAACGCGAGCTGTTCCCCAGAGCCTTCACAAGGAGCCGGCCCTGACAGCGCCTTGACTTTGCCCAGGCAGACTGACTGGACTTCTGACCTCTAGACCGTCTCGGCCTCTAGACAGGAAATCCGTGTGGGTTTAAGCCACCGTTACATCAGCAATAGGAATATGAGTAAAGGCCAAGGAAATATTAAATAAAGCAGTTCGTGTGCAGTATGATCCAAATTTTTATAATGTGTGGTACACAAGGAAAAAAAACATCAAAATGTTAGTATGATCCAAATTTTTATAATGTGTGGTACACAAGGAAAAAAAACATCAAAATGTTAACAGTGGTCTTACCTGATAACAGGATAATCACAAATAATTACTTTCTTCTTTATTCTATTTTATTAAATTTTTACCAAGAGCATGTTACTTTTATAATTAAACATGCTGTTTAAATGCTTTAATAAGCCTTTAAAATAAATTTTATTTTTTAAATCTATTTTATTTCAAAAAGAAGAAAAAAAATAAAGTGAAACCTGCACACTTTAAAAAATAAATTTTAAAGAAAAAAAATCAAAATTTCTGGTAAGTGGCATAAAATTCAAGTGTGTTTATTTTTTATGTCCATAAGTGAGTTTAAATGAGCTCTATCTCTAAGGAATCATTCTTAAAAAAAAAAAAAAAAAATCTGTCTGTAAGCCAGATGTGATGACACACATCTGTAATTCCAGCTACTACACTGGGTGACTAAAGCAATATGATCACATGCTCAAATCCTACCTGGGCAACTTACTGAGACTGTCCCAAAATAAAAAGATAAAAGAGCTGGGGATATACCTTAGTGCAAAGGCTCTGGTTTCAATCTGCCATACCACAAAAAAAGAAAAAGAAAAAAAAAAGAAGAAGAAGAAGACATAAAGAAAGGAGAAAAATCTATGGCTAGCTACCAACCAACCTGCAGAAACAATACCCTTTCAGAACACTACTCCTAGCTGTTTCATTACAGAGAGGGTTATCATTAATATTATCATTTACTCTCAGAACTCTTACCTAGGCTGCTACCAGTCCCACTAAGTGTGGATTCAAGTTAATTTCTATAACTTTTTTATGTGGAAGACCTAAGTGGTCTTCCCAGAAAAACCATATCCTAAAAGATATTATTTCTACCTAAGGATTTTCCATGAGTATGCCTATACATCTAATACAGGTATAATAAAAAATTAATTTGACATCCAATACTAAAAGACACAGTTTAAAAGATATATACCGGGAATAAGATGTGAGAAAAAGAGACAAAGTACAGGAAATAATTATTTGCACAACCAACTGGTCCAGCTGACAGCTGCTAACATTCCTTGCAGTTCTAAAAACTCTTAACTTGCATAGTGAAAGAACATCACAAAGATATATTCCTGGGTGTAACTTAAATATATCTTAAATTGTTTCCTTAAAAATAATTTAAGGGGCTGGGGATTTAGCTCAGCGGCATAAGCGCCTGCCTTGCAAGCAGGCAGTTGTGAATTAGACTCCTGGTACCGATAAAAAGGAAAAAAAAATTTTTAAAAATGTAATTCAGATAAGAGGAAATTACTGGTATCACATGATAATCATTTAGCTATGCAGTTATACCTTGCTTCTTAATAAACTAGTTTCCGTAAGCCTGAAGACTGAATTGTATCCAGTTTAATTAAAAGCTGCCTGAAAAACTAGCACTTGCATAACTAATTGCATAGCTGACTGTATTACCACTGTTTAACAAGCTAACAATTAAGCAATGCCAGAACACACTATCTTAAAATAAAGGTGTATTCTTCAGCCTGATTAACTATTTCTTTTGGCACATTCTGTGCATCAGGGAGTATTGTATTTTTTTTAAAAAAATTCTTTAGCCCAATGTGTCAATAGAACACCCCTGTCTAGCGTCTTCCAGCCTCCTTTTTCCCGTATTTGCTCTTGGCTCCGAGCAGTCTTCTCTTATCCCTTGGCCATCTAGAACAGGCCAGCTCCAGTAGGCAAAGACATACTTCCTACCTCCCACATCTTACATTGGTTTGCTTAAGCAAACAGAACATTGTCAAAATTAATAAATCTACTTAATGGATTTCTGCAACACATCAAAATGGATTAGGCCACAAGGAAACAGAAACCAGCTTCTTTTTTAATCACTGCAACCTGCCTCAAAGGAAAACACTGAAAGTGTCCATGCTGTCTCCCATCTTTGTCTGTAACCTAAAGCAGAATAAGGAAGGTTAAACATCCTGTTCTTAGGATTGGAGGGAAGGGGGAGAGGGGAGAGAAGGAGAAAGAGAAGAGACAGAGACAGACAGACAGAAAGACAAGACAGGAGGAGACAGAGAGGACCCACTAAACACACTAATGGGAACTGTGCAGTTCACCCCTGCTTTCAGTCTTCCTAGTTTTGTTTTTCTACTTATTTCTGACACCTGTGGTGGCTGCCATGCAAATAAAAAGGCAGGCTAAGAACTATCTACCCTGGGACGACAGAAAATACAAAAAACATGAATTTGCAAGGAATGATAAAATTTCTTTTTTCTTTTTCTTTTTTTTTTTGGTACCTGGGATCAAACTCAACCTCATGCTTGCCAGGCAGGCGCTTAGGGCACTGAGCTAAATCCCTGGCCCGATAAAATTTCCTGACCAGAACAGATATCCACTTATTTCTAGGTGATTCAAAGATCCTGCTGGAACTGCATTACAGCTTCCACTTTTACACAGAAACAAGAAACTTGTGATTGTATGGAGCTCCTGGGGAATGTAGTAGAAACTTAGGGGGCCCTAATGAACAGCTGCTGTTGATGGCTCTCACACACTGCAGCATAAAATAACAATTTACAGAAAGTGTTCTGAATGTCAGTCTTGATGGCTTATGCCTGTTATTACAGCATTCAAGAGGCTGAGGCACAAGGATCACTGAGAGTTCCTTGCCAGCCTGGGCTACATAGTAAGTTCAAGGCCAGCTTGGCCTTTGTAGAGAGACCTTGTCTCAAAATACCCTAAAAATATGTATGAATAAAAAAATGTAGACTACCCATGCAAAAAAATATCATTCAGTCATAGGAAGGAATGAAATACTGATACATGCTATAGTGTTTTCGTGTAGCTGAAAAGACTTTAAGTGAAAAAAGGTCACATACCATATGACTTCCCATCTGAAGAGATGAAATATTCAGAAACCACAACTCTAGGGAGACAAAGTGGATTAATGGGGCCTGAAAATGGGTACTGACTGCAAACGAACACAAAAGAACACAAGGGTCTTCTTGGGGTGATTGAAACCTAAGAGCAGATTGTGGGGATGACTGCACAAATCTACATTTAATGTGGTGTGTAAATTTTACCAAAATTAAGCTCTTACATGAAAACTTAACTATACTAAGGAAGACTCTGCAGCTCAATAACAACAGAAACTGAGAGAAGAAATGCCCTTTCACAAGCCCCTCCTTTTTATACACTTGCAAACCTGAAACCCAGATTAAAGAGGCTCTAGCCTCTCCAGCATAGTGCTACAAAGGGCTTTACAATTCAACCTCCAGGTCTTCTCACTTGTGTCATTTGGAAGTGTCACTCAGAATTTAATGTAAAAGTAATTTTTTTTAAAAAAAAGTATTTAATTTGCACCAGCAAGACAAGATTTTCAGGGGTTTCACAGACACAAAGGCTAAACGTCTCACTAAAATTGAAGCAGACGATAGACAGCGGTCTTAGGCAGTAGTAACACAACCATGCCGTGGCAGGCCAAGCTCTAAGACGCCACAGGTTTAAAAGGCATTCTGGTTCTGAGTTACCAGTCTCATCTGTACACTGAGCCACAGGTCGCGTCCCAAGCATTTGTGGCGCAAGGTGCACGAGCAGAGAGGCGGGAGAAACTGCGGTCTCTTAACACCTGACACCTGCAACTGCAGGGGAAGCCCCGGGCCAGGGTCCGCACACCGCTTCGCTCTGTTACCTTATTTCACGTAAAGAAACAACAAAGTGGCACAAGCTACCCAACCGTGTGCAGATGCGGGACCCAGAGGGACGGGCCTGGCGGCGTGCAGCCTGAAGGACCTCCGAGCGGTGGCGGCCGGGCCCGGCGTTCTCCAGGCCGGCGCCGTCTCGCCGCAGTGCGGAGCCGGCGGGAGGGTCAAGAGGAGCCCGGCGCCTCAGGCCTCGGGCGCGGCCGGCTCAGAGGACGCGTGCGGCCGCCCGCAGGCGAGGAGGGGCAGCGGCTGGGGGTTCCCGGCGCAGGCTGCTTACGTACCTTCGGGCGCCTCAGGCTCGTAGCCGGGGGGCCCGGGATAACGGAGCCTCCGCCGCTAACACGCCGCGACTCTCCATTCGGGGGTGTTTACTAGCAACTCTCGCGAGACCGCGCCACCAGCGAGGAGACCCACGGTCGGGAGCGTCAGCGCAGCGTGCGCGCTCCTGGCACCCAGGGCCGCAGACGCGTACCGGGAGATAGACGGAAGTCTCGCGACACTTGCGGCCCGACTTGTGAGTACCAGAGCGCAAGTGTTGTTGCACTGAGCTAGGGCCAGGTTCGTGGTAACAAAAAGCTTCCCCTCTAGCCAGCTTCCTCCGTGTTGAAAGCGCGTTACCCTAGCGCTCTTTCAGCCAAGCCCATATCCAAGCAAACTCCGGTCCTCCCAAACTGGGGTGGCCCAGGATCCCGACCCTTGCCAATGGATCTGAACCCACGCAGACATGGAAACCCCAGATCCCATCTCCACCAAGTCCTAAACCCTAAACTCTTGGCCCGACTGCTGGAAGGGTTCCTCTGCTGCTAGGGTGTCTGAGCTTGGTGAAACAGTAAGGATTTCATTAAAGCCAAATGCGTACTTTCCTTTTTTGAAGACTCACGCTTCATGTATAGAACAAACATCTGCAATTCCCTGGAAAAGTAAACCTTTATTCAAATTGTCATTTTATAGAATAATGGCTGATGGTACAGACACCAGCTGAACAGGGGAAAGCCAGAGTTCACACGTTGAAGGTCCTAAGCCCAACGACTACTACACAAGCACAAAAGATCCTGGAGGTCCTAGTGGACCTGCACAGCTAGCAGCATCATGTATGGAGACGCTTTCAGGTCACAGCTTCAACCTGACAGACACCAGACGTTGACGGCAAGATTGCCCATGGAGATACGTCTCCACAGCTTCCCCACCAGCACACGGTAAGCTTTATTGCTTTTTTGAGGACAACAGCTTCATGTTCATGGTTCCCAGGTGGTGTCTGAGTTACGCAAGAAGGGAAAAGCACTAACTGAGCCCAGGGCCTGCCACACTTCAGTTTGTCTTTGGGTGTCAGTACCTACACCAAAACTGGGTTATTCACTGGGATCTCAGGCTGGCAGGCTTCCCAAATGAGGCTCTAGAGGTCAAATGAGATTTGAAACAACCAACCAGTGGTGAATATCAGGGGGAACAGAGGAAGACCCTACATGGGGTTCTAACTACCTGGCTCCCAAGGTTGACAGGCAGAGAGAACATGTTTGAGGCAGACATGTGGTCCATCATGCATATACAGTGGGCACTGTCGGAGACCTCCTGCCTAAGAGCCTACCCTCTCCATAAAGAATGAACCCAGTTTTCCCAAGCTCATCAACCCCACAGTCTACCTTAAAAGTGCTCATAACACTTGGTTGCATTAGCCAACAGTTGGACAGAATTATGTAACACAAAGCCCATTTTATATAGCTGGGTCTCTGTATCAGTAGTTTCCATATCCACCAGCTCCACTAATCCTGGATTGAAAGTATCTGGGAAAAAACTGTGTCCATACTTGGTATGTATAGACTTTTATTTCCTTGTCATTTTTCCCTAAACAATAACCACCCCATTTACATATCATTTATAGATTAGGTATAAGTAACCTAGATATAATTTAAAGTATACGCTAGGATAGACATAGGTGATATACACATATTACACCATTTTCTGTAAGAACAGCCTCTGCAGATTTGAGTATCCACAGTGGTCCTGGAACCCAACCAACACACACACCAAGGGATGACTGTGAACAGTAACCTTGTGCCCACATGCCTGCCTGCAAGGCCCCGGGGGCCAGGGTTAAACTGCCTGTCACTTACCTGGGGAAAGATCAAAATCCAAACTTTAGTTTCTGCTCAGTGTATATATATAGCTTCCACACCACTGCACAGTTAGTACATTATATCTCGATCACTAAATTCTAAGGGACTGTATGCACTGAGAAACAGTCATGGACAGACTAGAATTGGTTTTGGACAACACAGAATATCAACACTGAGAACATACCATTTAACCCCTTGGTTCCCAAATGTGACAAGATCTTATGTAATTGAGGTAGGAAAAAACCCAAAACAGTCCTCAGAGATGTTGCTATTTGCTGTCTTTTTTGGACAGGGTGTTGCTGTGTATTTCAAGGTGGCCTTGAACTTACTAAGTAGCACAAGCTGGCCTCAAACATAGTGATTCTCCTGCCTCAGCCATCTGAGTGCTGGGATTACAGGTATAGTCCACTGAACACACTATAGCTTTTATCCCCATCACACAACTGCAACAGCTTGTGGCTAATCACCTACCAGCTCCATGCTACCAAATTCAATAAACCCATCTTCATCCTACTCAGTCATCAGCTGAGATCAGGATGTCACTCTAGTGTGTCAAAAGCTCACCAGGCATGGTATGCACGATTTTGTTATGAAAGCATCAGCCCCTCCCACAATACTGGAGCTTGAACCTTGAGCATGCCACACAAGCGCTCTACCCCTGAGCTACATCCCTGGCCTTTTTGTATGTGTTTGTTTGTTTTGAGACAGGATGTCACTAAATTGCTCTGGCTGAGCTCAAACTTTTGATCTTCTACCTCGGTGTTCCAAGTAGCTGAGATGCCAGACAAACATCAGCTTTTATTAAAATTACAAACTCAGTGTTCACAGGGTAACCTTTAGTCATCATTTCTACAAGGAAAAAATAACCAGCTTGCAAACATTTGCAGCAAAACCTCTTCCAGAGGAAAGAAGCAACTTCCTTTATTGTTACATTTTCAATTCACAGATTACATTTCAAATGTTCAGATTTCCCACATTTTTAAAATAAGCAACCCTATCCACCATGGTCTATTTAACTCTCGAGTGAACCTTCAAAGCAAAAATGTTTTATAAAAGTTAGAAAACCTAAGAAAATTCCTAGTCCTGGTCTTTCACAGAAGCTATAGACAACTACGCACCACAACCGCATCAATAAGCATTTTTAGCTGGTCCTGCCAAGGTAGATTTAAAACACTGCCGACAATGTATGTTTACGTGTTCTCATCACGTAGCAACACAGGACCTTACCAGTAACTGATTATGGTTTACATGAAGTAGTTGCTGTTTATTACATATTCATAAAATCTCCATCAGTGTGGCCGGAAACCAGGAGGACTCTGAGCTACTTCCACCAAAACCTGTGCTGTTACCCAGGATCTCCAAGGGTTTGGTTCTCCATTTTTTACATTCTGAAGACAGGATCGAGGCGTGAAAGAGCTCTGGAATTAACACTGATCTTCTGTGTCCAAGTCACAGGAAGAAATGCTACAGGAAGTGTCGCTGCGGGGGGAAGCAAACAATCAGTCCTGACTCCAACCTACTTCCGACCTTCTGCGTCAGTGTCACAATATCAAGTTCTCAGTTTTAAATCCCTACATGCTGCCATATTCTTATAGTGACAAGGTTTTCAAAGTGCTAGGTATGTGGCCCTCAAGCATGACTGCGTTATAGAATCTGAATTAAAGATATTTCACAGTAGGTTTCAGTGCTAATTCCTATTGTGGGGGCTTGTGCATAATTACCTTCACATCAATGGAAGTGTTCACTACAATGTGTAAATTCATTACACGGCCAAAGATGGGCTGCTAACTTACTATTTCAACATCTATGTCACACACATAATTTGTCAAAATTTTAACCACTCTTCATAAATACATCAAGAATGCTACTGGAATGGGATAGCACAGAAAAGTGTACGAAACCCAGATTGAAAAGCTCTAGGGGGCTCAATTTCAGTTATAAAATGGATAATAGGCTGAGAAATCACAATTTATTCACATTATCTTATAAATCAAAAGATGCCTGAGGGCAACCCATTACATATCCAAATTGAGGATTTCATTCTGTGGAGCTCGGGAAGCAGTGCTGGGCACGGCCAGCCTACACCACCGGGGCAGGCAGGCCTGTTGGGTGTTTGGGGGAAAAACCCAGACTCGTAACACTCCGTCAGGTTCCACGCTGCCTTGACAAGAAGTCTCCTTTAAAGTAACTTAATCACACACAGAGTTCCTCGGACACCCGTGGCACATATCACACATGGTTCTCTATGGAAAGCTCGGGAAAGTGGCATCGACACGCAGGCACACACACACACCAAAACGGGAGCTGCGCAGGAGGACACACAGACTTCTACAATACCACCATCCACCGCTGCCCTCTCAGCTCCGAAACCTTACTTTTCAGTACTTTTCCTGTTCGACACTTGAAAACCAAGACCAGGAGTCATCTACAAAGGGAAAGAGGTGATTTCCCTCACAAAACAACACCAGAAATTCTAAGAGCTGACAGATCAAATCCTAAGTGCTGGGTCACTGCGGCTCCTAGCACAAGTTACACAAAGTTTGAACAGATTAGGCAAAAAGCACTGACATTTAGGTTTCTTCCATCAGTTCTTTATGCTTTAGTTGTTATCGACTCTGTGCCATCCAGGGGACCCTAGAGGTTTCCTCACAGCACTCTCAAAGTCTGCTTTGCAAACGATGAATCAACAGGATGCTAGATCAGCAGTTGTGAAAGAAAACACATACAATAAATTAAACGTTCTTCTCCAAATGTCAGAATACTGCAGGTTACCACGAGTTGGCAGATGTCACCGATCATCCCGATTCATCTGTGCAGGATAAGGCCTCCTTTCGTAATGAGCGGTTGAGAATATTTGCGCCCCACACCCAGAGCCATTCAGGCATATACTGTGCAAAAAGAAACTGGAAAGAGAAAACAGCGAGAAGGTTAGCATCTCAAACCATCACTGCTGAAGAGTCAGGTGCACAGATAAGCGCATGACTTAATCCGATTACCTGCCCATCAACCGCATTACATAGGACAAAGGGAAACGTCTGCAGGTACTTCTATAGTGAGCATGTCTCTGCATAAAACACCACCCTAGACTCCACAGGGAGCAGACATGCTCACTACCAGCAGGAGCCACCCCCTTTCTGTAGTGAGGCTGGACAAACTTTTGAGAAGATAAAAGTAATAAATAAAAACAAAAAGACAATTTCACTTTTACTTAATGAACTGCAACTTCATTAGTGCAAGAAAGTCAGTTGGAATAAGCAGAGGTACTTGTAGTTAGTATCCTAGGAGAAACTGGGTGTTGGGAGACACACTAGAGAGACCTGAGGAACGCCAGGCCCTTGGACCTGTGTCTGGGGCCAGGATGAGGGGCTCAGGCAACCAGGGTTGGGTCCTGCTGCTGCTGCTCCGCTCCGAGGGTGTCAATCTGGGAACAGATGGCACTGTCTGGAAGTCTGTTTGGATCACACTGGGGATGGGTGCCACTGGTATCCTGTGGGTGGAGGCAGGGACACCACTCAACATCCTGAAATATACAGGACGGTTCCTTGTCAAGGAATGAGCCACCATGAGAGCCTATGGCGATGTGATGGAGAAACCTGCACTCCCTCTGACAGATCTGACCCTAAACAAACGTTCTGACACCTCATTACATTCCAGCCTTGAACTGAACTCTGATGACATGGAGGTCACTCAACTCTCTTCCCAATATGTGGCCCCAACTCCCTCTGCACCTCCAAGGCCCACACTAAATAAGGACAAGTCTGCATATCACTAACTGCCCCACAGAGTAAGGATCAGCTCTGCACCACTGAGTACCCGACAGTGGCAGTACAGCTGCGGTTGTGTAGGTCAGTCATCCGAGAGACGGGAGCCTGTGGCCACACCGCAGCATCCTGGAATTTCCTTAAAGGCTTCAGTGAGGAAAGACCTGCTCACTCCTCCTTGGAACCTGTGCCCTAAGACAAAGCATTCTAAACCCAGGGAGATAAAAGGCATCCAGTAGTGGTCCCTCTGGAGGACAAAAACGTGGACAGGTGACACAGACTAGATCAATAGCCCCCCTCTCTAAGATGACAGTCTGTGCATTTTTAGTGATTATTTAGTGGAGAAGTGGTGTCAAAAAATCGGTTTTTTCACTCCATTCTTGACCACTCTGTATTTGGGAACAGCATCAAGGTGTGTCCCCAGTTGCAGGAGGGAGCCACAGTGCACCATCTCTGGCTGGCACCTCAGGCAGCGGGGCAGAAGAGCCACTTGCAGAAGAGAAACCTTGATGCCTGGATGAACTCAAGCTGACTCACTGGTCCCCTGGCTAACAAAGGTTACCAAGAGGGAATGCCAAGCTCTGCACACAGGGAACTGCGGCTGAGGGAAGGGGGACGTGCAGGGGGCTGACGGGTGGACGGGCTGCAGGGCAAGGTCTGCTCCACACTGGGTCTGGCCAGTTCCTCCAGGCTCAAGGAAGCACTGCTCCTCTGCATCAACCCCAACCCAGTCTCCTGAGGAAGGGCAGTCCTCGGAGACCCAGGAGAAGGAGGAAGCCATGGCCAATGTGCCTGGTCAGCTTTGTGGAAATCTACATTAGCAATTAAGACGCGGATGCCATTCCTTCCCTAGAGGCTGAGCCTGGTAAGGCTTACAGACATAAGGACTAAATGGGAATGGAAAGGATGGGGAAGAGCTTAATTAACGTAAGCTAGAAGCCGGGTGTGGTGATGCACAGGTGTAATCCTAGCACTTGGGAGGTCGAGGTAGGAGGATTGCCTAGAGTCTAAGGCCAGTGTGTGAACTACACAGTGAGACCCTGTCTCAAAAAACCTAAATAAATATCAGAATCTAGGGTCCTCAACCTGCAGTTATCTCAGAGGCTGAAGGTGCACTTCCTCAACCTGCATGAGCAATGCCCTTCCCAGCTCGGGCAGCCGCTGTGATGCGATCCCCACCCGGCTTCCCCGCACCCTCGCCCCCACACCCTCGCCCCCACACCCAGCCCCCTGCAGCAGCTCTTCCTGCACCTTTCTCTGCGATGCTGGAGAGCCTGAGACTCTCACCCAAGGCTCTTCTGCCTCCGTGCGCCAGCAGATGATGCCACCCACCCCCTCACTGTCTCACCGCCACACACTCCTCCCCTGCACCCCTCTGTGTCCCACACGCACCAGTCACCCGCACTGCCAGCTGCAGCTGCCTCCTCCTGTTTTGAATCTTCCCCAGGACTTTCAAAGCCAGCTTGGCCTCGTTCTCCCCGCTCCTCATTTCCTCCTCGTGCGACCTGAGCCCACCTGAGCCGCAGCACCACTGACCCTGAAGCACAACCCTTCCCTCCAGCCCTCCGTTGTGGAAGGCACTGGTACTATCTCACGGACTCTCAGCTGGGGAAGGGAATGTGCGTGCAATCTGAATCGCTAATGCAGTTTCCAGCAAGCTGAGCAGACACATTGACTGTTGCCTCCCTCTGCTCCTCAGCTAATACTAAACTCTGCACAGCATTATCTCACTCACAGTGCAGAAGGCACCCTGGAAAACAGCACCAAATAAAGCTTCATTCCATGTCTGGCCTGTCAAGAGGCCTGAAACCCTCTCGTACACTGAAGCCTGACAGAGGTCCGAAACCTTGATAAAGTCTGGATCTCTGGGCCCTGGGGGAACTGTGTTCACAGCAAACAGCAACTACAAAATGTAAGTTGCAGTAGCAAACCATACCAAAGAAGTAAGGTTCCACTGAAATAGCAACTGATGCACCTCATCTTCGCAGTGAAACTGGAAACAAAACAATGCTCCAGTAACACCTGAGTAAAGTAAAAAGAAAGTTTAAAAAACTGAGAGTTCCGGCCAGACCTGGTGGCACACACCTGTAACTCCAGCACTCTGGAGGCTGAAACAGGAGGATCACTATGGAGTGAGCAGCCAGCCTGGACCGCACAGGGAGACCAAAAGCCAACCAAACACCAGCAACCGAAAAAAAGGGAAGTTTAACAGTTCTACTTAAAAAGTGATTCTAGGACTTATATTAGCTACACAGAATTTCTTGACAGAAAAGCACGTCCTTAAGGAATAAAAACAAATCTGTGATTGAGATGTCAGTGTCTCATAAACACAGTGAACATGTCTGTAGTATGTAACCCTACCCTCACTCTACTGTCATTTCTAAGGGCTTCACGGTCAGGGGCTTCTAAAACGACTACTTAGTTTTCTGCTTTGCTCAAGCAGTTAAGAATCTGAAAACAATCACCTTAAGTAAACTGCTTCTTGTTAAAGAAAACCTTTAGCCAAATCTTTAACATTTAATCTTCAATTAACTGTTGATTTACTTATATGTTTATAGTGGTAGATTTAATAATCTTTATATTAATAGTTTCCAAAATATTTGGTAATTTTAAAAACTTCAAGTATTAAAGAAAAATCTAGGGCCAGGGGTTTAGCTCATCGGAATAAATGCCTGCTTGGCAAACACAAGGTCATGAGTTTGATCCCTGGTACCAAAAAAAAAAAATCTAAATAAGAGCACAAGTATTTTCTAGATAACAAAAAAATTTATTATTGCAAATAAAATATAAATCATTATGAGGTCTCTCCCTAACACTCAAAATCACAATTTTAAATACTTAGACAAAATTAAATATTTTTAAAAGAAATCCAAATCGTTGTCAGATCTGAAAAAAATGTTTTAAAAATCCTATGCTTCTTGAGCAAATGGTTCTAAGTATATTCAGACATGCTGTTTGATCTATTTTATGGCTGTATGGTTTTTTTAATTAAACTGTTTAGATGTACGCCTTCAAACCTTCCTGGCATCCTTACTTTGAAATTCTCATATAAAGTTTTAGTATTTTTACATTACTACTATCCACTTATATTGAAAGTATTTTATCTTTCACACACATTGAACTTTTGAAAAATTTTAGTACAACCAATACACTGTAATAGAATTTAGGATCTTAACTGAAATCAGTAACGGCATAAAGTTGAAAACGCGGAGTTCACAGTTCCTTTTCCATGTCAGGCTTCCATCAAACTCCTACATGCCAGTCAGAAAGCTGTAGAATGGGTTAACCCGACCCCCAAAGCTGAAAGCGTGCTCTACCTGAATAGAGTGAGACCAGTACCCCGTGGTCCTTTTGGAAATTCCTAGGGTAGAAACGGCATGATGGGCATACACTTTGGGTGAAGGCACCAGCCACGAGCATCTGTGCAGAAAGCTCCGAGGAGCAGTGGTGTTGGTAGCTACGCAGAACGGGATGAGACTCTGTACGAAGATTCCTTTAGCAGCGTACTCGTACTGCAGCGCTCTACTGAAGTGGTCTAAATAAGCCTGGTAAAGCAGAGGGAGAAGAAGGCTTTTAATTCTGAACCTGAGGGAAAAGGCAGCAGTAAAAGAGACTTGCTTCCTATCGTTTCAGGAAAATAATACAGCATACGCAAATTTAAGTTGCTGACAAAGCACTCAACAAATTGAATCTAATAATTGTAATAAGTGCTCTATTGTATGAGGATTCTTTCTTTCAGAAAGTAAAGCCTGACCTTAGAAGCGGAAAACGCAGCCAGCTGGGGAGTGGGTTTGCAGCAGGAGCCGGAAGAGATCGTGACGATGGCCCCTTTCTTCCTCTCCACCATTCCCGGCAACACTATGTGGACCATCAGACTAGCGGCGGCAATGTTCACATTTATGATATCCCAGAGCTTGTCCTCGGAGACCTGGGCGAAATACTGGGGGTAGGGATAAGAGACGCCTACATTATTTACCAAAATCCCAATGTCTCTGTCTTTCACAGCTTCTTGAATCAGATGGTAGATCTCACGGCCTCTGCTGAAGTCTGCAACTATAACATCTGTTTCCACTCTGTAGGTGTCAGCGATGTTTTTAGCAACATTCTGTAACTTCTCTTCGTTCCGACTAATTAGAATAATATTGAGACCTCGGCTTGCTAACTCTTCAGCATAGGCCTTTCCAATCCCGTCGGTCGCACCTAGGACGCAAGCCAGGAAATATGAGCATGCTCAGTGCACGGTGTTCTTTAAAATGGACCTGAACTACACACCGAATTTAACCAGGGAAAAATGACCCCTGAAAACAAGAGTTCTAGTAGCTAACTGTTAAAGACAATGCTGCATCAGTAACGTGAATAGCGTGAGCTAAACCCTTTCCCACATACCCTACCAGACAAGGAACCAATTTACATTCACCAAACTGCTCAGAGAGACAGGAGGAAGTTGTTTCCAAACTTCCAGCTGGTTAGTGTGGGCGCCAGCGGGTGCCATTCTGGGGCACAAGGCTAAAATGAAATTCCAAGTAAGTGAAGCATTGTGAAAGTGGAGGAATTTCTACGGACAATTTCAAAACACCAAAAAGGAATGGTGAGAGGCTAAGACAGGAGAATCTCAAGTTCCTGCCCAGCCTGGGCAACTTACTATCCTGGTTAAGACTCTGTCTCAAAATAAAAAATAAAAACAGTTGAGAATACAGCTCAGTGCCAAAGTCTTGAGTTCAATCCTCAGTACAACCAAAAAATAAAATTAAAAATAAAAGGGGAGAAAGTAAGGGGTGAAGAGGTACGGGTTTAGCAGGCCTGTGAAGAGGAAAAAAATAAGACACAAATCATGAGGCAAGTTTTCCTACAATGAGACAAGTAAGAACATGTGAAGATAATCATAACAAGAATCGTAAGATTTTTCTCATTGTCATATGCCCAGGAAAACAGTACAGCTCAAACTTAAATTATAATCTAAACAGAAAAGAATATCTGAACTCAAACTGCATTACCACTGACGATGGCCCATCTTCCGTACTGCTTGATCAGGTCTGCTCTGCTCCCCAGACGAGGGATAAAATGCAGTCTGATGAGGCTGTAGAAGTCACAGACGACAGTGATGCTTTTTCTGGCTGTATACCAGGCTCCAACCAAAGCCAGAGCCTCCATGTAGCAATTGCAAGACCTGGCGATTTCCCTGTACAAGAGGTAGAAGCTGTCAACAGCAGCCATGGCAACCTGCAGGGATGGAAAGAGATCCCTGCCTGAGTCAAACAGACATGCAAGGGGATCAGGTCTTGACAGTTTTGCAATTAAACAACAGAAACTCCCCACAGAACATGTGGCCTGCAGACACAGTCAATGCGTGATCTCATTATTTAGCACCTGTGGTTTACAAAACTCTTCCAGGAGATTAATCAACATAATCACCAAGAGTGACCAGATTCTTTCTAAATCTGACACTGCTTTGGATGCAGAAATAAACACAGTGTGCTCGGGCCCTGAAAAAGCTCCTACTTAGAGTAGAAAGAAGCACAGTTTTTCATTCATACGCCACCCAGGAGACACATCCATCTCTCTGCTTGTTTTATAGAGGACCTGACGCCCCAGCAGAGGCAGCAGAGATAGGATCAGGACACAACCTTGGCCTCAAGCAGTTTATAATCCCCTTGGGACAAAAATAAGTTTTCAGAAAGGTTGGCAACATCTTACTAACTTGATTTGTACACTGTTTGCTTTGCCTGGCCCCTTAGGCTTGAGTGGAGACAAATCCAGCAGAATCCATCCACATCCACGCAGCAGGCAGTGCCCACGGAGACAAAGTTCTGTGTACTTTGAAAGGTGGTAAGATTCATATAATTTTGCCTCTGTGTTTAATGAGAGGCATGAAAATGGCATTTGATGGTGACAGACGTGTGCAAAAGCCAAGCAGAGCTGGGGATTTAGCTCGGCAGCATAAGCGCCTGCCTTGTAAGCGCGTGGTCATGAGTTCGATCATCCGTACAAAAAGAAAAAAAAAAGCCACGCAGAGAGAGCCTGACAAAGGCCCGGCAGGGGGCCTGGAGTGTGACCAAGGGAGGTGACCCTCATCCCAGACTGAACTGGGTGACCATTGTGGGCTAGAACACACTAAAACTGTGTCACAGGTAAAGTCAGATTACAGAGAGCTCAGACATACACAAAAACAGATACTGCTTAGAATACGTGTAAGAAAGTTAATTTTAAGCTAAAAAAGAAAAAAATGTAAAACTAGGAGTGGCATCTTAAAGAAATCCCATTAAAATAGGGGAGGAAAAGTCCTGAAAGAAAGAAAGAAAATACTCAACAATGATGGCCACACTTAGCATAGGCCTAAGGAAGGCATGAATTCCTTCCTGCTTCATTTGCAGAGTGAACAGTGAACTGAGCAAGACAACACTAATAACCACATGGCACACGGGACACTATATGACACCATGAAGCTATGAAAAACTGCGGGATAAATAAGATCATGCAGCCCAAATCACAAAACAACAAAAGACACAAATGCAACAAGACAGGACACTGAGTGAGGGGACAGGCAGGCAGCAGGACTCCCGAACGCCCCCCACCCCCACCCCAGGAGGACATAACCTTGTCAGCAGGAAGCCTCGCACATTCCCACCTTACTAATTACACTGATGGCTCGTTAAATTAAGTTAAAAAAAGTTTCTCTCAAAAAATTCGGCCACCATATTTCTTACAGGGAAAATGCTGTACACTGGCGCTCTGTTCAGAGAAATTCACTCCCTTCAGTAAAAATTCCAAATGAACCGGAAGGGAAAACATTACAAACTTCAGTGAACACAAACCGAACACTTCGAAAAACAATTACAACACAACCGTTGCCTTCGGAGTCATTTTTCCCTTGGGTCAGATTATCTGAGACCTCTTACGGTTCATGGTTTATATCTAGATGCCCAAGAGCCTCACACAGCGTTGGGAGGTGCCAGGTTTCGGGGCTCAGGGCTGCCTCGCTGTAGGAGACAGGGTCTGGTGGCCCGAGAGAGTTTAGCTCCCTCCACCCAACATGCCCGAGCTGGGCACCCTGCTCCACCCAGCTCTGGGCCTCTCCCCTGCCTTCCTGCCTTGGAGTGGCTAACCTGGGCTGTAACCTGGGCTGTAACCTGAGCCAAAACAAACCTCTTCTCCCTTAAGTGGTGGGCACTGAGCACCTGGCCAGCGATGAGGGAAGTAACTAAGGACAGAGGTCTGCTGAAAGCTGTCTCGGCTTTCTGACGAGTGTCTTTCTGACGAGTCTGCCGTGTAGTAGAACAACGCCCCCTGTCCCAAATCCTCTGAAATACCATTCAAAGCTAGGCTCATCTGCCTCAAAAATGTCCTTCTATGCTGTGCATGCAACCGCCTCTCCAGGCCTCCCAATGCTGACTGGAGAGGGTCGTGCATTCCCACAGCCCCTTGTTCCGCTGTCCCAGGACACATCCCTGCTCACGCCACCACCGGCTAGAGGTGACAGAGACCAGAGTCGGAGTATTTGCACCGTGACTCAAAAGTCACCACTGCAGTACCTGCCCGGAAAACGACCGAGACATTGATTTCTTATAAAAACACTGAAGGTTGAGATGGGGAGGTCAAGCCATCCTAAAGTGAAGAGCTCCTGACATCACCTTTTCCACTGCTCATGCAGCTTCTGTCTTCACAAAACACTTTGCCAGGCAGAAAGCACACACAAAACAAACTCCCTGCAGGCACTAGGACTCCTCAAAACAAAATGTAACAAAAAATAAAACCATAACTGAAGAATACCCTGAGGCCTGCAACAATGCATCTGCTGCTCCAACACACCTGCAAGTTTACCTAGGATGCTAGGACAATGCTTTCAACAAAAAATAAGCACCACCCAGTAAGACCTGTGGGCTGCTGGCAGCAGTGCCCACACCAAAGTCCAGGAAGCAGAGGCCAGGGCTCCGGGGCTTCCCAGGTCCTTGCACTAAGGCTGGGTAAAGGGAACTTCTGTCCCCCGGATCCAACTTTTTCAAGAACGCGAGTATTTGCAAAATGAATGTTGAGGGGAAAGTGCCTGACCTCAAGGGGTTCCCCAGTGCCTCTGCCCTGGCTGTCCCCCTTTCTGGTCTTGGCCTTGTCTTACCTCCCCACTGCCAGCTCTGGCCCTCCAGCAGTCTGCAGCTTTGTCCTCCTCTGAAAGCCAAGCTGTGAACAAAAACCAAGAAACTGATTCTTCTTTTTCTTTGCAGCTCACCTAGAAGTGCCTTATATGAAACCAAGATCCAAGTTTGCAAAATTAAGAAACATAAATTCCCAGGCCATAAGTAGGGGGTAAAGCATTGGTGAAGCACGAAATGCCCTTGTCTCAGAATCCAAGGCATAAAGACCAGCCTGGGCACAGTCCGCGTGGCCTTCAAGGCTCAGTGGGGAATGTGCTGTCTTGCACTTGATTTTCTTAGGAATGCTCATCAAATAGGACACAAATCCACCAGTTAGCGTGGAGAAAGATGGCAATCTGTAAGGACAGCAGGGTTCCTCAAGGAAACAGAGCCTGGGCAGCCAGCCAGCATCCAAGGAAGCCAGCATCCAGGGCTATCCGTGGCACCTGGCGCCACCTGTCTCTCCCTGTCTGTCTAGGTTTCTGCTGGGGCCACCTTCCTGGACTCCACCTGAGCCTCCAACTGCAACAGCCCCCCTGGCACCCCTGCTCCACATTCCTGGCAGATTCTGGCCGGCCCATCCGAGCTCAGGTATCCACACATATCTAATCCCTGGGCAGGGCTGGCAGGATAAAGGGTGTCGTGATACTGGGCACAGCCCCGCGCTGTGAAAGGGGCAGAGCTTTGAAGAGGAAGCAGGGCCACTTGTGTGAGTAACAGCCCTCAGCCCACCGCCACCACACAACTGTGTCAGCACCGCTCAGCAGGCCAAGCTCCTCAGCCCAGAGGCCAGCCCTTCTCCCTCACAGCCCCCGGCTCAGAGAAGGAGCTTGAAGTGCTGGCAGACACAGTGTGGTCAGCAGGAGTGGGGCTCTGGCTGTAGCTCTCAGGCTGAGCCTTCTCCTGTCCTGTCCCCACACAGCAACAACATCTTGGTCCCCACCCTGGGACCAGACTACTCAAAAATCTTGCGGACCTTTTTACAGAAAGGAAAATTGCATACAAAATCCAACAGGGAACCTCCCGCTCAGGGCCACCAGAACAGGTGCACCTACCTTGCTGGCGAGAGGCCTTAGGGCCCCCTTGGCCCCTTCCCAGATCACCCCCTGGGAGCCTTGCATACTTGCCATGGCCACAAAACGCTAACATGCAGATCCACCGGCACAATACCCTAAAAGTGTGCCATTATAAATCACAGGGCTGGGAGGCTGTTACACCAAAGTCTGGTCCAAGCCTTGGAGTACAGAAACCCAAAATCCCTGGGAAGCTGGGATTCCCAGTCAATACCAACCTGCTCCTGAATCCAACGTAACAAAGGTTCCTAGTACCAGTGTGCAGAGGAGCTCATGTGACGGAGGAAAGTCCGCATGGAAACTAAACTACTGGGAGAGCATGGAAGACACGACTAGGTGTCAGAGACAGAAGGCACCACGGTGAAGAACCAAGATGCAAAGCTGCTGGTGCGCTGGGAATGCACACAGCCAGCCCGAGCAAGTGCAAGGCAGGGGAAGACGTCCTGAGACAGCACTGCTGCAGGCCTGCCTTCTTGGTGTGATGAAGGCCGGGTCCAAGGAGTGCGTGCAGCAGCTCGGGCCTGGGTGAGGCCACGCCGTGCAATGCTCACACGCCAAATCGAAGTGTCAGGACTTACTCCCTGGACACCAAAGGAGGACACCAACCTGGCTGGTTGCAAGGGCAGCAGAGAGGCAGGCGGGAGGACCCTGAGGTGGGGTGGGGCTGCACTAAAGCCTGGCGCTCTGCAGCCCTCTCTCCTCCCAACATGCCCAAATGCATGTCAGACCCGCCCTCCCAGGAAATAACAGGAAGCTATCGGCTCACTCCACCCTCCTGATCCTTTCCCAGCCGTCCTGCACAGCATGGAAAATAACGTCTAGTGAAAGAAAAACTCTGCACTTTTCCCAAAGCCATTCAATTCCAAAAGTTTACAGCCCTTCACTGGAAGTTTTGAAGGACTTTATCACACGGTTGAGTGACAAGCCGACCAAAGCTGGTGCCATACCAGGTCTGCTAACTTTTCTGTGAACTGATGAGAGGTCCAGTGTATGCTGCGGTCTCATTGTTCATACCTTCCCCTCCCCAAGATCGCAGGGGAAGTGACTGGGTCATGAGGGGTCCACCCTGAGTGAGGACAAGCCCAGAAGGCACCAAGAACAGGCTCTCACCCAGACACACCAGCCAGCGCCCTCCTCTTGAATTCCTTGAACAATGAGAAACAAATGTTGTCTACGGGCTGCCCCATTTACAGTACTGTTACAGCAGCCCACAGACCTAGACTATAGAGGAGCTCAACAATACTACTGCACAGTAAAATCTTGAGCCTGTGTAGCTGACTTGTACAGTTATCATAAAACTTTGTTTTCTTAAAGAGTAGCTAGATGGTGATGGGAGTCTGGAGGTGAAGGCAAGCGGGAGAATTTGGTTAAAGGGTACAGACTTTTGGTTATAAATTCTGAAGATCTAATGTAAAGCAAGGTCACCTGCTCCACTGTCCACTACTCCACTGTCCACCTGAAATGTACCAGCAGGATAGATTCAGTGTTCTGGACACACACAGGGAGTAGATACTTTAACTTCATCTTGGAGGTCATTCAACAATGTATTCATATTCAGATCATCATGTGATGTCATACAGCTCATCGGTGCAATTTTTTTGTCAGTTACACTGCAGTAAAAGTGGGAAAAATAAAAAATTGTAGATTGTCTTAAAAGAAAGTTTCCTGACTCTCCAGAAAAAAGAAAAATCTGTAAACAAAATAGAATTGTCCCCAAAGTAGGAAAAAGAGTAATTCACTATTTTTAAGGCATTTTCCACAGGACAATATTCATCAGGGCTAGATTCATTAAACACCCTAAAGGAGCCAAGCACGGTGGCACACACCTGTAATCTCACCATTCTGGGAGGGTAAGGCAGGAGGAACACAAGTTCAAGTCCAGCCTGGGCTACTGTGCAGGGTGGCAAGACCCTGTCTCAAAAGAAAAAAGAAAAAAAGCCTGGAGCATAGCTCAAATTGAAGGCTCTAGGTTCCCCTCCTAGTGCAAAAAGAAAACACAAAAAAAAAAAAAAAAAAAAAAAAAAAGGAGGAAAGAAAAGCACTATAAAAGAAACATGCACAAAAGCGTCATGGGAAATTAAGATTAAAACTTCAAGAAGCAAAGTCACTTCCACAGCACCGCTGTGGCAGCTGTGACAATCTGACCGTATCTTGGCCCACAGTAGGGCAGCCTTCACCAAGCAGTCCCCATGGCAGCCAAACCAAGAAGGAAAACCTTGGGGAATCCAGAGTTCCAGAAGGGAAGTCCTTGTAAAACAGACATCACTGAGCTACTCAAAAAAGAACCAGACCTGGAAACATGGTCAAAAACACAAACCACGCTGGTTAAGGTGTTTCTCAGGGGTCACGGATTTAGCTCAGTGGCACAAGCTCCTACCTGGCAAGCGCAAGGTCCCGAGTTCGATTCCTAGTACCAAAAGAAAAAGATGTTTCTCACCTTGCTTTTTTGATTTTCTTATGGCACTGAGGGCTGGACCGAGGGCCTTGCACATGCGGGGCAAGCCCTGCAACACTGAGCACGGCCCTGACCCTTCTTTATTTTTCCACAGGCTGGTCTTGAACTTGCAACTTCCTACCTCAGCTTCCCAGGCAGCTGGGAGTACAGGTGTGCACCACAGCTTCAACTGGTCAAGATGTTTTCAAAGAAAATGAAGTATGAGGGGAAAAAAGACAATCTGAGGACCACCAAATACAAGTGGGGCGGGCAGCTCCTCCTCATCCTCACACCCTGCAAATGTGCCCCACTGCGGCAGAAGACTTAGTTGATGTGTTTCGGGACCCTGAGATGGCGAATGATCCTGAATTATTTAAGCAGACCTGGGTAACTGTGTGTGTCCTTGTAAGAGGGGCGGAGAGGACCACACACGGAGAAGGAGACATGAGCCCAGAAGCAGGGGCCAGAGAGCGCGCAGCTGGGATGGTGCACACCATCAAGGGCCAGGACCGTGGGAGGCCGGTGGCAGCTGGCTCAGGTGAGGCCAAGGCTCACTCCCGGAGTCTTCAGAAGCAGCCGCACCTTGGCTTTAGCCCTGGATCTTCGGACCTTTATGTAACAAATCTGCCTTGAACCACAGGTTATCTGTCCAGCAGGAGATAAAGGTGGAGGGAGGAAGCACCAGAGAGATGAATGAGTAAGTCTGGCTTTCCAAAAACAGCAGCGATGAGCTGACACCCTTTATCCACACATCATGTGCACTCACGCTCCAGGTCTCCTCAGAGACTCCCAACCTCCAGTGATGGGGTGCAGCTGAGGCCCCCTTGCTGTCTTTAGCCACAGCAGTCCACGTGTGTGTCCAACTATTCCGGGTGAGGGCTGTTTCCCACTGAAAATGTTTCCACAGAAGTCCCACTTGCACTCGGTACTCCAAGTTCTTCCGGCTGGAGTCCAGCCCTTCTCCTAGGTTCAACCCAGCACCTGCTGACAAGCACCCATGTGTGTCCCCCCCACCCGGTGACCACTTCACCCCATCTGAGTACCTCTCTGAACCCACACTACTCTGTCCCCATCCAAATGTTTTGAGCTGTGCTGTTTTGTTGTTTTGGACACAGGCCTCCACTAAGTAGCTCCAGCTACTTGAACTCCTGATGCAGCCCACGCTGGCCTTGAACTTGCAGTAATCCTCCTGCCTCCACCTCCCAAAGTGCTGAGATTACAGGTGTGCACTACCACGCCACACAGCCCTATCCAAATGTTTAATCTGCCTCTATCTTGGTCTTTCAACTAGAATGTCTCTAAAACTAATTTTTCTATAATTTCGAGAAATTTAAAAAAATATATCCAGTGTATGAGTCCTACTATTCATGGTTCAAACAAAACTTTAAAAACCTTGCTCAGCTACCAGCCTACTTAAAACCAGCCTCTTAGGAGCCCCAGTGGCTTCCTAAGCTGGCCACGCCCCTCTCTAGTAGTCTCCTAGATGCTCAGCCAATCATTCCCTGGCTCTTAGGATACCAGGTATTCACCCCACATGGGTATTCTGAACCACAAGAAATGTTTAGCTGCTTGGCTTAAGTGTCACAAGTGTGTCCCATGGTGGCTTGCGTCCTGCACACAGCATGTGCTAGAGACCCACCCACAACTTGCAGCTGGAGATCTGACGTTCACTCTTGTCCCCTCTAAGCTCACCCTACAATTCGCACGGGAATGTGGACCGTTTTGCTGGTTCCAGGAGCGGTGCTGCAATCCACATTCTTGTCCTCATCTCCTCCAGGGCACCCGCGCCAGAGCTCTCACAGGGACACGCCTAAAGAGCAAGCTGCTGGGCCACATGCCGCTCAGGTACTTCCGACACCTTGGCAATTGCCTTTCCTAAACAACAAAACCAACTCACCTGTACGCTCAATGCAGCAGGCTCACCTGAGCGCCCACCACCGGCCCAGAAGGGAGCTCTGAAGTAGAATCCCAGTTTATATTTCTCTTTTTACTAATGGGGCTGAAATTCTTTTGAAATCTATTTAATGCCGTTTCCTATCTATGAAATGCCTGTTCCCAGTTTGTGCCTTTTTTCTTGGTATTTATCCTTAGAATTATAAGAGTGTTCTATGTATTTAAGATGTAAGTCCTCTGTATTTTTTATGTCTCTTCAGGGCAGGTGATGAACACATAATCCTAATTTTCTTGTAGCCAAATGTATCTATCTTCTTTCCAGTATGGCTCACTATGTTTTACTTCAGAAATCATATTTTAGCCTCAGCTCAGGAAGAAATTTCCCCATGTTATTTTCTGGAAGTTTTATAGTTTTGTTTTTCAGACTGAGCTCTAATTGTCCTTGAGCATTGTAATGGAATTATGCTAGAATCTCATACATCTTTAATATTACTCCACAGCACTCAGCACACTGCTCTGTACACAGTATTTAATGAACAGAATCAAATACTGCCTTGTGTTCAAAGCTCAAATTTCACTCTTGAGAAAAAACTTAAGAAGCACCTCAAAGTTTAAATCAGCACTTCAATAAGGTTATTATTGGTACATCATGTTTTTTTTTTAACTCCTTACCTTCTGCTGCTAGTTCTGATATGCAATTACACCACAGTGAGATTTGAGTGAGAAGAGCAGCAACATAGCAACTGGAAACCAGAATTCTCTCCAGGACCCACTACCTGAGTTTCATGTCTCTGTGGAGTAACAGCACGCTATTGCTAGACATATACCTAAGATAACTGAAAACTGTTACTCCCATTAAAACAAGTGTAGCCATGTTCAGGGCAGCCTTCCTTATTCACCAAGGTAAAAACCCACCGAAATGGCCATCAACAGATGAATGAACAAACAAAACGTAGCTATCTGTATGTATCTCTATATATAGATATAAATACAGATAAATATGAATAGCATTCAGCACTAAAAAAGCAGTGAAGTACTGATACCTCCTACATAAATGAACTTTGAAAACACGATGCCAAGGGACAGAAGCTAGACACACAGGGCCACATGCCATAGGATTCCACCTGTATAAAACAGACGCAACAGGCCAACCCACAGAGATAGAAAGTGGGTTAGGGATGTCAGCAGGAGGAGTGAGGGAGGAACCGAGCTATAACGGAGCTGGGGTTTCCTGGGGAAGAGGAATGACGGAAATATTCTGGAATTAATTAGTGGTGACGCTTGCACAGCACTGTAACTATACTAAATACTACTAGCTGCACACTTTAAAACGGCTAAAATGGAAAATTTTGTTATGCAAACTTTATCTCACTAAAACATATATATTATACCTCCTTAAAAAAAGTGGCATTGATCTATTGAACTCTGTGCCCATGGAATATCCACGCAATGATTACAATCAGACTGAATGGTGCCTAGGCTTGAATCCAGCCCCCACCTAAGAGCTGTGGGTCCTGGCGGAAGGCACCTCACCACCGTACTTTCCTCATTCATCTGTAAAAATGGGTGTAACAGTTTTTGCCTGGGAGTACGATGAGAATTAAATGAGGTAATGCACACGAAGTGCTTTGAACCGTGACCTTTGTAAGTATGCCATAAACCTTAGCTGTCAGCCACCATGATTCAGTGTTTGATATTAACAGACATCTACAAAAAGCTAACTTTATGCAAAAGCCTCAAAGTGTTTTATTCCTAAGGTCTCACTTTATTCCTTTTCCTAACTTATAGAGCTATAACCACACACACACCCGTCTACAGGTGGGGAAACTGAGGCTCAGGAGGTAAAGTAACACCCCAGGGCCCCACGCCTAAGAAGGGGCCGGCCAGAATCCAGACCAAGGGCGACCCAGGTCCCGTGCCCTGGCTGTCGCCCGCGGTCACTGGCACACACCCTGCGGTGAGCGGCCGGGCTGCGGAGTGCAGGCAGGGTGTGACGCGGCGAGGCGGCCTGCAGCACAGGCACAGCCGGCCTCCCCCCCATCCCTCCCGCCAGCACCGGGGGGCTCTCAGCAAACGCCGGGCGCCCTTTCTTTAACAGCACCACTGTGCTGAATTCATTCAAGTCAGAAAATCAGGGCGCTCACAGAACCCTACAAACCCGGGCGTCGGAAAAGGAGAATAAAGAGGCACAAAGAGGGTGATTCAGGCGCCTCTGGGAGGAGGAGCAGGGCGGGGGTCTACGGCCGAGGAGCGCGCGGATTGGAAAGGACGGGGAGCCCGGAGCGAGGGGCCCTCCGAGAGGGCGGAACCAAGAGTCCGGGGCTCTGGGGTGCTGGGGGCCGCGGTCCCGGGGGGCGTGGCTGGGGAACAGCGGGAAGGAACGCTGGGGCCGCGGGGCGCGACTAGGACGCCCGGCTAGCGGCTGCTCGGGTGGGCAGGACACGGGGCACGGTACCTGTAGCGTCGCAGTCTCCAGAACCCGTCCAACCAGACCCACGCGGCCACCGCCCCTGACTCCGCCGTGGCTGCCGCCACCGCCGCAGCTGCAGCCGGCCGTGCCTCACGTGACCGGCGCACACGCCAGCGGGCCCCCCCCACCCCGGCGTCCCTAGCGCAAGAACCTACGCCGAGTGCGCATGCGTAACGTATAGTTGCCGTGACGACCAGGGAAGCGTTGGATTGCGTGCTAACAGGCACTGGTGTCTTTGAAGAAGAAAAGCGAGGCTTCCTTACTGGGACTGGCGAGCTACTGCTGCGAGGTGTTCGGTGTCAGAGAAATAAGCATGCACCCCGAGGCCTCGGAGCCCGCGGTGGAGCGGGTAGCGGAGCTGGACTGCGCTCAAGACCCCGGTGTAGAGGAGTCCGCGAGTGACCACGGCGACGTGAACCAAAGGGCCAGCAAAGAAGGTGCCGACCCCTTCCGGGGAGGCAGAGGGGAGCAATGGGCCGAGCCTGATCTTCACAGCCAGTAGTAGCCGTAATAATAATAACGACCAACAAATTTTAAAGATTTGCCAAGCGTTTGTTGCTTCGTTCTCTGCCCAGCATTTAAACGTGCTCCCAACTGATTGCCCTTAACTAGTCAGATACAGAACGGACACTCAGATTTGGTCAGTCAGACCCCAAAGCTCAAGCCCTAACACAGCACATGTTGTTCTCTCCCCCAACTTTTGTTTTGAATGTATCTTTTTTTTCTTCTTCTTCTTCTTTTTTTGGTACCGGGGATTGATCTCATGACCTTGTGCTTGCCAAGCGGGCACTTACACCACTGAGCTAAATCCCTGGCCCCTGAATGTATCCTTTTATTGCTATGATCATATGAAAGCCAAAGTTTTCTCTCCTTGTAGACTGCAAGCAGACATCAGAGCAGCCCATCCCGGTAGATTAGAATTAAAGCGCTGGACGCGTGCCTGGGGCCAGTGAGTGACTGCTCACCTAAGTTTCCAACAATGGGCTAAAAATAGGCTTCAGATTTTGCTTCCTTTAGGCTTGGGCCCTATGGGAAACCTTTAGTTACTAGATTTATATTTGAACCCAGCCATCAAAACATCTTGAGCTGCCGTTGCTCAAACTCTGGAAGGCAAATTGTATGAGGTCTAAGGCATTGATATTGCTCAGTGTAAAACCTTAGACTTTCAAGTCAGTCATGTTGGGTTCAGACTGTCACTGTCAGCTCCCCAGCTAAAGCTCAACATCGCTGAACCTCAGTCTCCTCATCTATAACCAGGATAATTATACAGAGATATACAAAGATATTTATAGTAAAAGTTTCTGGCATGTACTGGGCACTAATAAATGACAGCCTTGCTTGTTAATATTATCAGTCATTTATATGCCGAATACACATTATTTATTCCACAAATATTTATCTAGTTCCACTTGTGGCTGGACAGTGTATGCAGTGAGAAAGCAAAAGGCAGCAGACACAGTCCCCCACACACAAGTGCTTAGGCTCATTCAGTAGACCAAATGCACGAAGCAGCCACCAGCCTTCAAAATTACGTGCAACTGAGTTGACCAAGTTTGATTGATCTTTTAAAAACCTTAAGCACACTTTAATGTGCTCATTTTATTTATACCAAAAGTATTCCCAACATTTCATGATCTTTGTTTCTTTTTTTTTTTATCCTTTTTTTTTTTTTTTGTCTTTTTCATTTTTATTGGGACCAGGGATCGAACTCATGACTACCTGCTTTCAAGTCAGGCGCTTATGCTGCTGAGCTAAATCCCCAGCCCTGATCTTTGTTTCTTTTCATGCATTTAATATTTTCTCTTTTCTTCCTTTTATTTTGTGTTTACTTTTTGCTTTTTGAAACAGGATCTTGCTATATAGTTTAGGCCTTGAACTAACTATGTATCTCAGAATGATGGTATTCCTCCTGCCTCAGCTTCCTGAATCCTGGTGTTACAGGCGTGCACTATCATATTTGTCGTGTGTGTGTGTGTGTGTGTGTGTGTGTGTGTGAGAGAGAGAGAGAGAGAGACAGACAGACAGACAGACAGACAGAGTCAGAGAGGGACAGTGAGAGAGATTAGAAACTGAATCCAGGGTTGGGGATTTAGCTCAGCGGCATAAGCGCCTGCCTTGCAAGCAGGCAGTCGTGAGTTCAATCCCCGGTACCGATAAAAAGGAAAAAGACAAAAATAAAATTGGAAAGAAACTGAATCCAGAGCCTTCAACTCAGCTACATCCTCAGCCCTTGTTTTTATTTATTTATTTTATTTTGAAACAGGATATTGCTAAATTGCTAAGTTGCCCAGGCTGAGCTCAAACTTTCAGTCCTCCTGACTCAGCCTCACAGAGTGCTGGAGTTACAGGCACACCCCATCATACCTGGCTCTGAGAAATTTTTTTCAAAGTCAAAAGGACAGAGAACATTGTAACAAATAACAGTACCCATGTATTATCACCAAGAACCGAAAACAAGTAGTATTTTGTCATATTTCTCTAGTCTTCTTTTAGTTAAGGAAAAAAACATTTCACATAAAGTTGATATTTATCTCCCTATATTCTTGTCTTTTCCTTGTCCAGAATTTCTTAAGGGGTCTTTAATCACTTCTCCATTACATGTATCTTTAAATAATCCATAACGCTGACTTGCATGTTTTTAATTTACATCAATAGGATCTTTTATGAAAGCATGCTTTTTGCACTCTGTGTATATTTCTGAGAATAATCCTATTGATTGATGTAGCTATTAGTGCATTATTTCCCAAAGTAGAAGAGAAATTTATTGTTTTATGTAAGTCTCTCTCGATACACATTTGCTGTATTAAGAGTTTTAGGCTGCTATAAATAAGGCAAAAACAAATTACCTTTACATATGTTTTCATGTGCAATTTACACGTGTTGTAGATGATGAGCTAAGAAGTGAAATTTATGGTATTTGCCAGGTTTTAAAAACTGTTGCACATTTAAAGACTTTTAGCGTTCCATACTAGAAGTGGGCAGTTTTTAATCAGGTTGAAATTGGGGGCTTTTTTTGTATGTTTCTTGATCTCTGTAAACCAGATCTCTCTTATTTTACAGAAATTGATGACCCTAAGAAAATACATGTGGGTCCTTCTGACATACCCTGCCAAAACCAGCAAAATCAGAGTGGTGACAGCAAATCAGTCAGTCACTTAGCAGAGCCAAGAAGTGACAGAGAAGACCAGGGGCCCAGGTATGTGGACCTCTGTACAGGCAATCACTCCCCGTAAAGGCAGAAAGATGGAGGCTCATAGAGACCGAAGAGCCCACTCATCATCTGAGAATTGTTAACGAGTGGAGTCTGGCTGGCTGGTGCTGTTTCTATGGCACAACTAACCACATGCTGTTAAACTTTAATGTTAGGCCTGGGGAAAGAGACATCTCTAGTTCTTGATAGTGCTATTGAGTATTTTACTATGACTTAAAATGCAATTTTTAAGAATGCTGAAAGTAACATTGGGTGAGGTTCTAAAAGCTATCCCAAAAAGTAGAATTAGGAGGAAAAGAAAAGAGGAGTTGGAGAAATGAAAGGAGAAAAGAGATGGGAGGAGAAGAAAACAGGAGAGGGGAGGAGAGAAAAGAAGTGGGTATTTAAAATAAGTATCAGACATATATCAGGATGTAGAACTTTAGACATAAGGGGTTGGGGGTTTAGCTCACCAGCATAAGTGCCTGTTTGGCAAATGCCAGGTCATAAGTTCCATCTCCAGTACCAAAAAAGAATTTTAGACAAGTAAGTACAATAATGAATTTTTGGGATACATTTTATAATAATTTCTTGTCCATGTCTTTTTTTTTTTTTTTTTTTTGACAGAATGACAAAACAATTCCTACAAAAACTCTGTAAGCAACACAAGCTTTACATTACTCCGGCACTGAATGACGTGCTGTATTTACATTTTAAAGGTAAGAGCCTCGGAGAGGAGATGCTCACTGTCAGCTGGAAAGACCTTAGTGCTATCAAAAAGTGCCTGCAAAGGTCATCTTTAGCATTCAGGTTACGTGTAAGTGGGAATGTCAGAGTTTAGGGGAGCTTTATGGAAAAATAAGGCTGGGGATTTAGCTCAGCGGCTCAAACACTTGCCTGAGAAGTGTGAGGTTGTGAGTTCGATCACCAGTACAAAAAAAAGTTACAGAAAAGTCATATTTCTATTCAGGAAAAGTCTTGTTTGAATAGAGTTCACAAACAGGGTTATCGCTGACTTACAGGTATCCAGAAAATACACTGGTATCTGTTATGTTGCCTAAGAGCATACGACTTTTCCAAAGCAGAAAGGTAGTCTGTGAAAACTCTGGACTTGTGAAGGCTTGAAGAGTGGTGCAGAAATCAAGGCTCTTGGGGAGCCTCCAGAAGGAGACGTGGGGAGGGCGGCAACTGTTGGACTCAGGCTTGGTGTTTGGCAGCCCGTGCAGCTCTATATCAGGGCGGGGCTCTTCCTAGCGATGATAAAGAGGGGCCAGTGCTCCCAGGCTATGCTGAGCTCGGTGGCCGGCCTGCAGCATCGGTCAGTTTGTACATTTGTGTATTCAGCAAGTGTTTGCCAAGAGCTTTCTGTGAGCTGGGGACCATGCTTGGTGCCAAGAATGCAGAAATGGATGTGGCACGGATGTGGCTTGGGGGCTGGGATGGCCACCAAGAAGGATGATGCTGAGCCAGGGGGTGCACACAGGACCTGTGCAGCACAGGCGTCTTGGGATTTGGATGACTTCTTACTGGTCTCTGCACCCCCAGAACTGTCCACCCAGCATCTAAGTGTAGCAGTGGGTAGGGTAACCTGGGAGGACAGCCCCAGACACCGACACTAGTGGTGGGGAAGAAGACCCAGCAAGCCAGGCCAAGTAGAAAGAGTTGGGGAGGCAGAGGAACCCAGGGGAGGTATCAGTGTGACTTATCGTTGCCGCAGAAGAAGTCATCCTGAAACTTAGCAATTAAAACACAAGTTCATTAAGTCAGTCTTTTTTCTGAGGGCCACCAGTCCAGAAGTGATTAGCTAGGTGCTTCCAGCTTGGGGTCACTCACGAGGCTATAACAGGATGGATCACCTGGCATCTGGAATCTGAAGCCTTGCTGGGGCTGGAGAATCTCGTGGTCAGCCCTGCATAGGGAAAAACTACATGAGAAGCATCAGTTGGTTTGGACCTTACTCATGTTCTCAGTCAGACAATAAACAGTTTGAAACAGAAGGCAAGAAACCTGAACAGTGATGCACCAATGGGTCACCTTAAAGAATTATTGCTTAGCTGTCTCAATGACACTTTCTTGTCTGTTTGGGAACTGGGGGTGCTAGATAAATGCTCAACCACTAAGCTACACCTTTTTAAGACAAAAAGGGTCCTTTTTAGAGATGGTGACTTCAGTATGAAGTCTGGTGCAGCCAGAAGGATTCTGAGGCTATCAAAAAAAGCTTAATGAAAGAACTTCTAAAAATCTTTCCATACAGTACCCGTTTAATGTATTCTATGGTTTTAATTGTGTTAAGTCTACAAGAAGTTTGAAAGTGGGGAGGAAAAAATAAAAACATCTTGATCACCGGGGTGGAGGAGCATGAGAAAATTTTTTCTACTTCACATTAATATTAAAATTTTTTATTCAAAACTTTTCCAGACAAAATATATAACTTTTTAAAATTTTATGTAATAGATAAATGATGAATTATAAATTGATTATGTGTAAATAAAACAGACAATGTTTGTTTCCCTAGCCTCAATTTTGACTCACAAAACTGAAAAGTAAGCTGGGCATGGTGGTGGATGCCTGTAATCCCAGCACTTGGGAGGCTGAGGCAGAATTACAGATTTGAAGCCAGCCTAGCGTACATAGCAAGACTATATTTTTTAAAAAAATTAAAAAGAAAACCTGAGAAATGAACAATCCAAGGCCCACAGTTTGCACTGGCTTTGGGCTTAGCTCGGTCCTGGGCCTGAAGTTTCCCCCCAGGCTTCTCTCTGCTTTCCTCAGCCACACCTCCTCTGTGCTGGCTCCTGCAGGGCAGGACCGCCCCTCATTCACCGCCACTGCAGCCTTTGGGCGGGTGACTGCTGCAGTGCCAGGCATTGCCCAACCAAGTAGGCAATTCTAGCAGGAAGAGGCCTTCTTTCCCGGGAAGCCAGCAAAACTCCCCAGCATTCATCAAAATTGGCTCTGCCTGGCTAGGTGTGACCCTCTCCAAAAGAATCGCTGTGACTCTGGCTATCCAGAGACCCTTGGCGCAGTGGTAGGAGAGCAATGGTGGTCTAAAAAAAAATAGTTGTCACCAAATAAGATGTAGCTAGGTATCTTAGTCCCATCAGGGCTGCTGTAGAGACTGGGAAGTCCAGGGTCAAGGTCTGGCAAATTCAGTGTCCGGTGAGGGCCCCTTTCTGGGTCACAGACAGAGCCCTCTGTTTGGATTCTCACATAATGTGGCGGGTAAGGGAGCTCTCAGAACCTCTTATAAGGGCACTAATCTCATGTAAGGGTGGGCTCCATGCTCATGGCCCAGTCCCTTTCCCAGGGCTCCCACTCCTGCTACTCTCATAGCAGGGATTCAGATTTCAACACATGGCCAGCTGTAGTGGTACACGCCTGTAACCCCAGCATTCTAGGAGGCTGAGACAAGAAGATTATGAGTTTTGTGTCCAGCCTAGGCAACTTAGCAGCTTAATGAGACCCTGTCTCAAAAAACTAAAATAAAATGGCTAGGAATATAGGTCAGTATAAAGGCCCTGTGCTCCATCCCTGGTGCCAAAACAAGAGATTTCAATATATGAATTCTGAGAGTATACAAATGTTCATTCCCTAAGACAGACAAAACAAGGTGACCTTGAGCCCTCTCCCCTGTGTATTAGAGGCTGGATAGAAGCTCCCTTTCCTCTCCCCAGGGTTTGACTGCATTGAGAACCTAGAGGAATACACAGGTCTGCGCTGTCTCTGGCTGGAGTGCAATGGAATACAGAAAATCCAGAACCTGGAGGCTCAAACCGAACTGCGCTGCCTCTACCTGCAAGTGAACTTGATTCATAAAATCGAGAACCTGGAACCTCTGCAGAAGCTGGATGCGCTGAACCTCAGCAACAATTACATCAAGACTATTGAGAACCTCTGTAAGAGCCGCCTCCCTCCCTGCCTCGCGGCCACCTCCCAGGGGAGGAACCACCTCTAGGGGTTTCTGTCACTGATGAGAACCGAACCTTTCAGTTCTTGGTTGCTCTTTCCTGCTGTGCTTTCTTCCAGCGTGCCTGCCAGCACTAAACACTCTACAGATCGCCCACAACCAGCTGGAGATGGTGGAAGACATCCAGCACCTAGCAGACTGTTTGACACTCTGCGTCCTTGACCTTTCCCACAATAAGCTGCGCGATCCGGAGATCCTGAGTGTCCTGGAAAGCATACCTGATTTGGTAAAACAAAGCAAAACACCAACGTGCATTGTTTTATGTTCTGTAAACACCAATCTCTTTCCTTCCTCCTTTCCACCCTCCCTAGCTTCTGTCCTTTCCTTTCCATTCACTTCCCTTTTTTAACCTTCTTTCCTGTTTGTGCTTTTGCTGGAGCATCTTAAATATCTGCTGTCATGTCACTCACAGATACTTCACTGTGTGTCTCTAACAGATAAGGACTTTTAAAGTGTATCTCAATAATACTATTTTACCTAAAATAGATTGACCACATTTATAGTTAATCCATGTTCAGTTTTCCCCCATTTATCTTAAAAATAGGTTTTGACACTTGGGTTGTTGAAATCTAAACCAAATGCAGGTGCTGTCATTGGGTTACTGGTCAGTTTGGTCCCTTTAGTTGGTGACAACTCTCCTTCCCTGTTTTCCCCTCCTGTTAATCATTTTCCAGAGAAATTGGGGGTTTTATCCTGCAGTTTCCTTCATTGTGGATCTGGCTGATTGCATCCTCCTGGTGTCATTTGACATGTTCTGCTGTCCCCAGTAGTTCCTATAAACCGATGGCGTCAGAGACTTGGTTAACTCCTGGTTCACTGTTCTCCACTGCACCATGCCGGTGGTGCCTGCTCTCCACTTGCCTCTCTTTATAAATTTAAGACTGGGTAGTGGGTTCAGAGTTGCACTTGATCAGGCTATTAGGAAGCTCCCATTCATTACTCTTGGTCCTGTTTGGCAGCCAGTTAGGAACCCTGCCTAGATGTGCTCTTTCGTTAGGACGCCACAATGACTTTTTACATTTCTCTTATTCCTTCTGCATGGAACAGCTAGGATGCTTCTCCAAGTGACCTTCGTCCATCAGTACTGCTTTCTACTGAAAAGGCCAGCATACATGTTTGTGTCTTTCCTTCCACCTTACTCATTTACCAAAACAAGTTGAGATCCTCACCCTCCAGTGGTGAGCCCCAAAGGCTAGTCTTTCGTTGGCATCATGATACGTTCACAGATGGAGTTTGGAAGTGCTAAACTGTTGTGTAATGCGTTTACCTTCTGCAGCAACATAAAGCAGGCTAGATATGAAAAATACTGTTTTGGTTCCATTTCACGTTGCAGTCCAGGCTGGCCTCAAACTCCTGGAGATCCTCTTGCCTCAGCCTCCTGAGTGCTGGGATTACAAGTGTGCATTGCCATGCCTGGCTTAGACATAAAAAATATTTAATGACAATCACAGACAGATTTAAAATGATTCATTCACTCTTAACCATTCACCTTCTTTGAGCTTCTTTGGCAAGCGGGGAGGTTGGCATTGGCAGATGAGGGAGTGCCAGGCCTCTGCTGGCCCTTCCTCTTTTGTGGTCTCACCATGGCCACAAGCCCTGTGAGAAAGGCGCTCTGCACCACAGTGCTCCCAGTGGATAAGGACATTTTCCATCCTTTCCCTCAGTTCCTGCTCCTTATCTGTGACCACTGTGAATGTCCTCTTAAAATGGGCGTGGCTGGGAAAGACAGAAACAGTCAGACCAAGATGCACTTCAGTTCCTGAGAGATTGAGCAGCAAAACGAATAGAATCACTGCCCTTGGGAAGAGGCTCGGGAAATGTGCCCCGGTACGCTCAGGAGGTCCGAGCTCTGCCGCTGAAGCAGAAAAGGCAGCTCAGTGCTGAGGCACCAGAGCAGTAAATCCTTCTGATGTCTCTAATCAGGCCCCAGAACGGGACGCTGCCGCTTCCCTTTTGCTCAAGAGCGTACATTGTATTGATTTGTGCTGAATCCAGCACATGCGCCACACTGGACCCCGCGTGTGGCCTTTTACCCTGTCTTTCCTCAGCAGCTCCCCCTGCTCGTTTGCTTTCCAGCGGGTGCTGAACCTGATGGGGAACCCAGTGACCAAGCAGATTCCTAATTACCGCAGGACAGTCACTGTGCGCCTGAAACACCTCACTTACCTGGATGACAGGCCAGTTTTCCCAAAGGACAGGTAAGCAGGGAGGAGCCTCTGGGTCTTATTTGGGTATTTAACAGTTCCGTAAGCATAATATGAGGCTTTTAAAATTTCTGATTTTTGTGCATCTTCACACATCCTTATATGCCCTTTGGACGCAGGTTTAATGGCCACATAATCTGCCTGTAGTAGGGTCTGGGCACTCACTGATAGAGTCTTACTCTCCTTTGATAACTGTCCTTATAGGTGAGTTGTTTTGTTTTGTTTTGTTTGTTTTTACCTCATTGCTACAAGTTTCTTTGGGATTGGAATTCTCAGAGTCATACCACTGGGTTAAAGAATGTGGTTTGAGGGGGCTGGGGATTTAGCTCAGTGGCATAAGTGCCTGCCTGGCAATCACAAGGTTGTGAGTTTGATCCCCAGTACCACACACACACACACACAAAGAATGTGGTTTGAACCCAGGTATGGTAGTGCATGCCTTCAAACCCAGCCTGAGCAATTTACAGACACTGTGTCAAAATTTAAAAAAGAAAATCACTAGGGCTGTAGCTCAGCGCAAAAGCCCCGGATTCACTGAGGTTAATGCCCAGTAAAACAGTCACACACGCGTACAGTTTGAGACTGAAAAAGCTCTAGTTTCTAATTGTTGTTTCAAGCGTTGATAGCAGTTTACAATCTCTCCAGACACAACCTGTGAAGGAATCTTTGCCAGTCACTGGATGAGTGAAAATGGTATCTCATTGTTTAAAGTTTGCGTTTTTGGGTAACTGTTGAGGCTGGTCATTTTCCTGTCCCTCTTCTGTGAATAGTCTGCTCACGACTTCTTCCCCATTACCTTGTTTAAAATGAGTTTTTGTTTGCTTTGCAGTATTAGGAATTAAACCCAGGGCCTCACCAAAGCTAGGCAAGCACTCTACCACTGAGCTATATCCCCAGCCCAGCGGGGCATAGTAGCCTGTAATTCCAACACCCATGAGACTGAGCCAGGAGGATCTCTGTGAATTTGAGGCTAGTCTGGGTTACACGGTGAGTTCAAGGCCAGCTTGAACTACATGTTAAGACCTTATCTCAAGGGCTGGGGATTTAGCTCAGCGGCATAAGCGCCTGCCTTGCAAGCAGGCAGTCGTGAGTTCGATCCCTGGTACCGATAAAAAATGAAAAAGACAAAAAAAAAAAAAAAAAAAAAAAAAAAGACCTTATCTCAAAACAGAATAAAACAAAGCAACTACACATACAAATCCATCCCCGGCCTTTTAAAAATTTTAATTTTGATAAGGCTCTCTCTACATTAATCAGGTTGGCCTTATACTTACAATCCTCTTTCCTTAGCCTCTTGTGGTTATTGTCACTACTTTTACTTGTGTGGTCCCCCACTGCATTTTTTTGAGACAAGGTCTCTCTGTGTAGCTCAGGCTGGCCCTGAACTCATGGCAATCCTCCTGCCTCAGTCTCCCAAATGCTAAGATTACAGATGTGTGCCACTATACCTGGCCTTGTATTTTTAATTTACTTTTGATATAGGTCAGACATAATTCTAACTTAAAATAAAACTATGTATTAACATGGAGCACTTAATACAAATTTTGAATCATAGGACATTTCAAAACGCACATGTGAGTTTGGTGCAGCTACCGATGTGACCAGGGTAGCACGGGCTGGCCGCAACCAGCACCCCACAATGGGTGCCGGCCCTGCCGCCCTGATGGCTGCAGGTGTGTGCTGCCTGCCCTCTGGAGGGACCACCTGACTTGCCACCCATCCTGTGTGGCACCTTCTGTCGCTTGTCATCTTGGGAGGCATCAAGAGCTGCTGCAGACTGGCTTCCTCCTCAAGGGCTGCTCCCCCACCCCAGCACACTGCAGGGCAACCCCACCAGGGAGCCCTGGTGCACGGAGGGGACGCCCTGGCCCCAACCCCTGTCTCGTGTGGTCCCTAGTACACAGCAGGGCTGCCTGGGGGTAAGAGGCTGGGACCAGAACAGCGTCTGTCCCATAGGGCCTTCTGTCTGTGGGACTTGCGGTCTTTCTCTGCTACAGTGTATGTTAAAACCCTGTTTCCAGATCCCTTCTGTGGCTTTGAGGTATCCAGAGCTGCTCTTTAAAGTTAAGCCTCCTGCTTTGAAGCCACTGGACTAAAAAACAAAACAAAACAACACAGATTTATTGAGCTGTATCTCCTTCATTATGTAATTTGCCCATTTAAATGCAACGGATCTCTGTGTATTTGCAGAGTGCTACAGCCGTGCCACAGTGAGTTTTTATTTCATCAGCCTGGAAGCAAAAACCGTCTCCATTGGCTGTCACTCCCGTGCCTTCCTCCCCCAGCACTGGGGACCACAGCGCACTGCCTGTGTCTGTAGATTTATTTGCCTGCTCTGGGCGTTCCGTACGGAAACGATCAGACCGTGTGCAGCCTCCGTGTCTGGCATCTCCACACTGCGTCCTGCTGTCAGGTCTCTCCCGTGGTGCACCCGGCACCTACGCTTCAGTCCTTTTTATGGCTGTATAACATTCCGTCCTGACCTGCCACTGCTGTTTTTCCATCCATTTCTGGAAATGTGTGTTTTCTGCTTTTTGGCTGTTGTGAGTAATGCTGTTATATTTGTGCATGCTGTTTGTGTAGATGTGGGTTTTGTTCTTTTGGTATATAGAAAGGAGTAGAATTGCTGGATCAAATAGGAACTTTCTCTCTATATATATATTTTTTGGTACTGGGAATTGAACTCAGGACCTTGCACTACCAGGCAGGTAGCATGCCACTGAGCTACATCCCTGGCCTCCTACTTTTCGCTTTTGAGGAACCACCAACTTATCTCCAAAGCTGCTGCAGTTTCCCAGTTCTTCCAGCAGTGCGTGCAGGTTCCAGCTTTCCCACGTCCTCACCGAAACACGCCGTCGCCGGCTCCTTACTTAGTCCCCAGGGCAGCGGGAAGTGGTGTCTCATTGTGGTTTTGATTTCATTGCTGAAGTCAAGCATCTCTTCAGCAGCAGTTTTAGGTAGCCTTTGGGAAAATGACTGTTCAGTTTCTTTGCTCAGGTTTTGAAACACGTAGACCTTTTAAAAGAGCAGTTTTAGGTCGACAGAAAAGTTGAGCAGGAAGCAGGAAGAGTTCCTTTGCCCTGACAGCTGTGTGCTACACTTACTGTTCCAGGCCAGGAGTTTACTACTCACTCACTAGGTAACGTACTTACGGGGCCACTCTTTGGGTTGTACAAATGCAGTCACGGGTGCCCCATTGCGGCGCCAGAGAGTGGAGTTGCATGGCCCTAAAAGGTCCCCACAAAACCCGTCTCCCGTCCCCGCCCCAGCCCCTGGCACCACTGTCCTTTAATGTCACCGTAGCTGTGGGTTTTCAGGATGCCCGGAGCTGGGAGCTTACAGCTGTTGTCTCTCAGACTGCCTTCCTCCGCTCACCACAGCTCTGTGGCCCGATACCTTCTATTTGTTGTTTGACCTTTTGCCTTTGGGGGACATCGAGGTTGCTCCTGGCTTCTGCTGATTAGAATGAAACTGCTATCAACCCACATGCAGGTCTTTAAGTGGATATAAGTTCTCCACTCTTGTGTCTTTTGTGGCCTTCGTTTCAATAGTGAAGGCACCAAGCAAGTCTGATCAGACAGCACCTGAGCGGGATTCACCCCCAGGTCTCCCGCTCCGGCTTGTTTCCCACACACAGAGCATGCGCGGAAGCCTGGGCCCGAGGAGGGTACGCAGCCGAGAAGGAGGAGAGAGAGAGCTGGGAGAGCAGGGAGCGGAAGAAGATCGAGGACAGCATCGAAGCCCTGGCCATGATCAAGCGGCGGGCAGAGGAGCGCAGGAGAGAGAGAGAAGGCCGAGAGGGAGGTACGCGCTGGCCTCCGGCAGTGCCACGCGGGTCAGGCCGGGCTGGGCCATCAGAGTCAGCCTCTGATGTGTGGGGTTTTTTGTTTGTTTGTTTGTTTTTTGAGCTATGGTCTCACTATGTAGCCCTTTAACTCCCTGCATAGTCCAGGCTGGCCTTGAACTCACGGTGATGATCCTCTTGCCTCAGCCTCCAGGGTGACGAATCATAGGCAGGCACTGCATCTGTGATTTCTGGAATCAAAACGTTCCAGATGAATGGCTGGATGGAGCCATGCCCACAGCAAGGTGTTGGGGAATGAGCTCAGGGCCCTCGGGCATGTCCCCTCCAGTCACCTCCATGTGCTGTATCCTGGAGGTGGAGCACCCCAGAGCTCAGGGCTTTTCACCGAAACTCCACTCCCTGGAGAACAGGGTGGGTGGGGCCTGCACCCCAAGCTTCTGTCCCTCATCCCTGGCTGCTGTTTGAGGGGGCAGCCCCCACCAGACACCCACCGAGGTCTCTTCACTGAAACAAAAGATGCTCTGGTCACTCTGGGAGGTAAAACAGTCCAGAAGCTCTGCACCCGGAGCTGGTTCTCCCCGGGGCCCATGTCTGCACCGGGCTCAGGCCCTGTGACTCTGGCCTCTTTGCTGTATCAAACCCACACGTCAGAGGGTTAGCGCAGCCTGATTTAGTCTCATCACAGGTCTGGAGGTGAGCTCCCACATGGGTCTCTTGGGGCTCAGGCTGAGGTATCTGGGGACTCTGCTCCAGGAGGAGGCATGCAGAATCTTGCCGCTTGCAGCTCTGGTGGTGGTGGCAGCCACCTCCCATGGCTCAGGGCCCCACCCTGCATGCCAGCAGGGCAGCATCTCCATGTATCTGTGCTCACTGTCTACCCCCTCTCATCAGAGGGATGGCCTGCACAGGGTGGAGCACATCCCCACTCTTTTTAAATTTTAAGCAAAGATCTTCCCATGTTATACAGGGTGGCTTTGAAATCAGCATCCTGCTGCTTCAGCTTCCCAAGGAATTTACATTTTCTCTTGAACCATTTGAAAGTAAAGGCAGACGTTGTGTTCTTTAAACCCCAACACTCCTGCAGGCATCGCCTCTGGACCTCCTGCCTGACATCCGTCTCAATGGCTGTGTCCTTTCCATTAAGTGGGGGGCTCAGCAGTCTCTTCTGGAGAACTGAGCATCTTTGATTTAGGTGTGAACAACACTCCTAAACGTGTGTGTGCATGTATGTGCACTAATACTGGAGATTAAAGCCAGGGCCTTAGCAGTGAGCTACACCCCCAGCCATTTTATTAGTCTAATTTTTGTAGTTTTTAAATTGTTTTGCTTTTTTTTTTGAGGCAGGGTCTGGCCTTGAACTTGGATATGTAGCCCAGCCTTCCCTTGAATTCTTGGCAGTCCTCCTGCCTCAGCCTCCTGAGTGCCGGAATTGCAGGTCTGCACCAGCTGCCTGGCTGTTTTTTAATTTTTAAGAGGGGGTCCTCAGTCACTTGCCAAGGCTGGGCTTGAACTTGTAATCCTCCTGCCTCAGCTTCCCAGAGGCAGAGTTCAGACATGGGTCACCATTCCCAGCTTTCTGGGCTCTTCCTTTCCAGCACACCTGGCACCTCCAGGGTGCTCAGCACAGAAGGGCACCACCCTGTGCTCCCCCCCCATGGTACCACGCTCACCTTTGACCTTCCCCATGTAGGAGGGATGCCACCGGCAGTCACTAGGGACCCACAGGAGCAGCCACCCGTGGCAGGAGACATGCAGCAGAAGATGGAGCTGTTTGTGGAGGACAGCTTCAAGGCCAAGGATGAGCTGTTCCCAGAGGAGGCCAGCGGGGAAGAGGCTCAGAACCCCGAGCCCCTGGAAGGTAACTGGGGTGAGCAAGGGTCCCTCCTGGGGTCTGCGCCTCACCCTTCTACTGCTCCAATGACAAAGCACACAAGCGACTCCACGTCCAAGGGCAGCAGGAGCCACAGAAAAGAGATTTTGTAGTAACCATGTTAAAAAAAAACATATAAAGCTGTTAGCAATGTATAGTGTGAGCAAAATAAGTGGCATAAATGAAAATTGATCGCAGCAGCACTGGGCATACAGCTGTAATCCCAACACTCAGGAGGATGAGGCAGGAAAATCACGGAGAACTCGAGGTCAGCCTAGGCTGTACCGTGAGACTATCTCAAAGCCACAAAAACAGAAGCACAAGACACATAGCCATGAATCCTCCTGAGATCCTCCGACTCTTCCCTAAAGCAAAATGAGCCTGAAAGGTGGACAATTTGAATGGATTCAGGACCTCAAAGCATCCACAACAGTGCAAGTAAAGACGTGAGAGGCCCTCCAGAACTGCTTCAGGGTGGCGATGAGGGGTGTGTTCCCATGAGAGAGCGTTCAGAGAGACTAATGATGATGTGTCCCTGACTGTTGAAAAAGTAAAACTCACCATATTTTTTTTTAATTTTTTTTTTGTCTTTTTCATTTTTATCGGTATTGGGGATCGAACTCAGGACCGCCTGCTTGCAAGGCAGGTGCTTACGCCGCTGAGCGAAATCCCCAGCCCCCATATTTTTTATCATACTTTGTTTATCTTCCTCTTACCAGTCCTGGGGATGAGCCCAAGGCCTTACCACTAATCCACATCCTAAAGGTCTCCCGTTTTTTCTTTTTAAGACAGAATCTCACACTGTAGCCAGCCTGGAACTCTCAGCAATCCTCCTGCCTCAGCCTCCCAAACACAGGGATTATAGGCATGCACCACCATGCCTAGCCCCCATTTTTTTTTTTTTTTAATTTTGAGACAAGGTCTTAATAAGTTGCTAAATTGGCCAGGCTGGGCTCCCATTTGTGATCCTCCTGCCTCAGCCGCCCAGGGTTCTGGGATTGTAGGTACACGCCACCATGCCTGGTCTTAGTGCTTCCATGAGTTGGGATTTATTAGCCACCTCCCTGATGTTCACTGCTAGTGGAGGAATCTCATAGCATGAGCTCTTCTAGAGAAACAGGTGTGAGGGAAGTGCAGATACCCACGGGGATGGACCGTGGGGGCTGCAGTCCTGTCAGATAGTAGGGTGGCAGTTCCCGATGCTGGGACTGAGCACCAGGTGAGTCAGAAGAGAAGGGGAGGAAGACAGCAAGGGGCCGGCTAGGCAGAGGCCCAGCGCAGGGCGCAGAGGGAAGGGCCAGCGGCTGGGGCCAGGGCCGGCTCCAGGGCCCAGCTGGGCCTCCTCAGGTGCTGGCCACTGCTCCTCTTCTGGCTCCTGTGGGGCACTGGGCTTCCGAGTCCTTCTAGAACTTGTTTTGATTTTGCCCTAGAGATCACCTCCGTGGCCTGACCATCCTGGGCTTCGGGAGGTTTCTCCCCGGCAAGGCCACACTTTCCCGAACGCCTTCCCCGATGGAGTTGACGGCCTGGGGTCTCCTTGCCCTCCTGGCCGCAGCTCAGCTGCTGTCACACACGGATCTTACAGGGCCCAGGCCCAGGCTCCCCCTGTGGGCCTTGGGTGGAGGGTTGCACTTGTACTTCCTCATTCGTACAAATTCGCACAAGTCCCGCCCCTCACGGCTGGGAGGCCTGGCATCCTGGTGGTGCAGGCAGGCAGGCAGGCAGGCAGGCAGGCCACTGCCTTCTCAGGGTTCCTGCTCCACAGCTGCATGGCAACTCCTCTGGGGCTCCCCTCCAGGTCACAGCAGGGAGGGCAGCTTCTGGTCTCCTGTCAGTCAGGGGTATTGTAATCCAAATATCATAATCCCTTTTCCAGTCCTACTCACAATCCAGAGTTATATTAATAATGCCACTGAAACACTATTGGAATATTCCGGCAGGTTAATACCAACCTACCACCTGCAGTGCAGCCCACGGTGAGAGTAAAGACACCAGGACAGATCCAAATGACACTTTAGTATGTCAACAGACATACTATGGGCAGCCAAGGGGTCTTAATTCCTGTCCAAGTGAAGATATACAGACCAAAGGCCTTGATCCAAGGCCTCTCCCAGGATGTGCGATCTCGTGAAGAAGGGGGTGGCTCCAGGGTGAGTGACAGTGAGGATGGCGGGAGTCACATGGGCAAGGCGGGCTGAGCTGGCCGGCGGAGAGCAGGCCCCTCTGCGGTGCGCAGGGAGAAGGGGGTGCGGGGAGACCAGTCTGTGTAACTTGACTGGGGAAGCATATCAATGAATTTAGGAAGCTGTTGCCTCAGTTTCCAGTATGTAAACTTTTGTGTCCTGAGAAGTCACAGCCTTTTATTTATTTATTTTGTCTGAGACAGGGTCTCACTATGTGGTTCAGGCTAGTCTTGGGCTCACTTTGTAGCCCAGGCTGGTCTCGAACTTGCAACAATTCTCCTGCCTCAGCCTCCCAAGTGCTGGGATTGCAGGAGTGCGCCACCATGCCCAGTTACAGCCTTTTATTTTGAGGCTCTACTCCACTGACAGTCCTGGAGCTATCTAGCTCTGCCATCCTGCTGCAGTCTACACAATGTGAGGAAACACAAAATTGTCCGGTCAGCCTGAGATTACTTACCAGTACCTTGGCTGGCTTTGTTTGCATCGCTAAGAGAGAAGCAAACAGCATAGCCAGCTCTGCACATATCAGTACGTGGAGACAGGGCCCAGTTTAAATGACACAGAGGTTCTGCACACAAGGAGAGCTGTCCACTTGCTTTTCTACAAGGGGCTGGAGGGTCTGTCCCCTGGCCTCAGCTGTTATTCATGTGCTTTGCCTCATGGTTGGCCGTTGGCACCAAAGTCCTCGGGTACAACTCACTTGGGACCAATGACTGCTTTTTATGCTCCTCAGAGCTGACCTCTGGTGTGGTGGCTGCTGAGGACTCGCTGGCTACTGAGCTTCATGGGACCGGAACTGAGGACACAGAAGCCATTGAGCAGGGGATAGAGAAGCTCTTCATCGCGGTACGGGGCGCACTCAGCCTTGGAGAATAGTGTCAGTCTGCACCTGTGTGCGCCTCACCACCTTCTGTGGTGTGGCCCTTGGGTGGCAGGTGGGGCCCCACGGGTCCTGTGCACAGTGGGACCTTCTTGGGTGGTGCAGGCACACGCAGTGTAGATCGGAAAGCGTGGCTCAGACACATCCCTGGAGCTGTGTCTGCCCAGCTCCAAACTCACTTTCCCCAAAGAAATCAGTTGCAGAGCGTTCAGCCCACTGGCTGCCCCGAGTCCCTCAGTCACCAGGGCCTCTGAACCTCAGGCCCGGCTGGCGTTCTGGCTTCCTGTTGGCTCCTCGCTCTCCAGATGTCCCTGCCCCAGTGTCCCTTGGGCCTATTGAGTGCATGTCAGATCCCATCAAGGCCACTCCTTCCTGGAGCTCTTCTCATTATGACAGTGGTCACACTGGCCTAGTGACAGCCACCAGGGGAACCCACGGCTTTGTCTGTGTCCCTGGAATGGGACAGGGCAAGTGCCCTTCAGCACCTGTCACCTCATCCCAGTGGTCGGCTGGTCCCCCCTTCCCCCGCTTGCCTCACTACCTTCTGCTAAACTTCTCAGCTGGCAGTCACCCTGCATCTCACAACTTCAGGACTCAGTGTTACGCTAATCATGGTTACTATTTTCAGTGGGTTTCTAGTTTTCTGGCTCCACAGATACTTGACAAAATTGAACAACTAATCACTGACCTGAGAACTGACCTTATAATTAGTAGCCAGTATTATTTGAGTTCTTACTCCATGTGTGGCATGGCCTACGGATGATGTGTACTGACTGATGCAGCCCTTCTAGTTTCTCTAAAAGGAACTTTACAGATGGAAAAACTGAGGCAGAGGGGTCAAACAGTGGCCCGGAGCCAACTAAGCAGCAGCATGGGAATCCTGTCCCGGGCCGAGTGGTGCGGGGTTCACAGGTCTAGTCACTGTGCTTCCCCACCAGCGTGCCGACTGCTTGCTTTGGAGGAAGACGTGAAACAAATGCAAACACAAAACTGAAAGGTCCGCCAGGTTTGGGGAGGGACAGAGTGGCCCACACAGGGACCTAGGGCTCATTTTTGCACAGGTACTTTAGAGTTGGGTCCCATTATTTCTCCCAAGATGAGCTAAAAGACTCTCTAAGAATAAAATGCAGATGAGGCGATCCTTCCCCCGTCACAGGCTGCAGGCCGCACTTTCCTAGACCTGACGCTCAGGAAGGCAGCGCTGGGCCGTGACGGTGCGAGTGACCCTCAGCTCTCCTCTGTGCCGCTTGCTGGCACCCAGAACTCCCTGGGTACCCTTCCGGTTACCCCGTGTCCCTGCTGACCTCGGCCCGCTGTCTCTTTCAGGACCTCCCTGATTTGGAAGATGTTGATGACACAGATGCAGCTTTGGAAGACCAGGACCAGGTATCAGTGCACCTCTGTCCCCCAGTCAGACGGAAGTCCACGTCGTTCTTGTCATTTACAATTTCCTCTTGAAAAGTCCCCTGACCAGAGGTAGCACTGCACACCCTCAGTTTTGCCTTCCCGAATGAACTGAAGCTCCTTGTTCCCGCCTGTTTTAAGGTTTTCTAATGACCCACCTGGCTTTTCCTGCGCATGCATGTTATTGGGATGGTAGCAGCTGTGTGGTGTACGTAATTACTGGAAGGCATTTCCTCCCCTTCTGGTGCATTTCTGTGTTCATCTGAGGAAAGCGTTCGACTACATATACTGAAGGAAGGAAAGAGAGGAGGGGACGAGGGAGCAGGGCCTCTCCACATGTCACCTGGCCACCCGCCCTTGGGCATTATCACGTGTCTGAGAGGAAGCATTGGACATCACCTTTGTGTGACGTGTCACTGTCAACGGAAACAGGCACTTGTGGCCATGGTTATGTGGAGGTGCCAGTGCCCAAGGCCACCTGGAGGGTGTCGAGCAGCGGCCAGGCCAGGTGGGGAGTGCAGTGTGGAGTCCTGGAGGGCGGGGGCAGGTAGCTGCAGTGCTCCACAGCAAGTGTGGCCAAGAAGCAGGCGATCCAAGGTCCTACTCCAGACGGGCACCATCCATTGTTCATGGGGTCACTGCTCTGTGGCCACACGCAGTAGTCAGTAATGCTCAGTGTAAAAGCAGGTTCAGCAGAGTGCGTCTTAGTGACCGTTGTGAAAACAGAAGGCAGAAACCCCTCTTCCCTCACCAGGTGCTGTGCTGTCCGAAGATCGAGGTCCTCTCAAGTGACGACAGTGGCACTGACCTGGATGACATGGGCCTTCCTGGCTCCGCACACTCACCCACAGGTGCCCTGTCAGGCATATTCGCAGTCTCTAGGGACACCTCAAAGAAGGCAAAGTCACCTTTCACAGACATTTTAAAAAAAGAAGTGATGAGAGATTTGAAAATTGAAAGCCAAGACACCGAGTCTCTGAGCCCACTCATTCAGGAGCTCGGCGAGGCACCCTCAGGCTGCGCACCAGCCTCTCCCTGCTACAGGACAGACGCTGCAGAGGACGGCGATAGGGACAGAGACATGCTGGCCTCCTCCCCAGGTGAAACACGCTGCTCCCTAGACCACTGAGAACCCAGCTCCAGATGACTGAGGGAGGGGGAAGCTGTACCTCGGCCCCAAGAACCCAGTTCCTGGACAGGCAACTCTGAAGCTGTGGCTGTGGGTGGCAGTGCTCAGCCCTCCGGGGCCTACTGACTGGCTGTCCTCTTGTCACGATCCCAGCCCTGGCCATTCCAGCCCTAGGCCTCTGTGGGGGGCAAGGGGGGATGTGGACAGCCTGCCTGGGGTGTGGGACAGAACAAGGTGCAGGAGAATCCTGAGCTGATGCACTAAGTGGGGACACTGTCCAGCGGGCACCCCTCATGCTGGTGGCGATGCTGTGGGGCAGCTTGTGAAGCTGGTTAGCACACACGGAGAACAAGCTAGGGGCCTTTATTGACACCCAGATGGGGTGTCGGGCTCACTATTCCCACTTCTGCCGTTTGCTGAGGTGCCCTGCCGGTGGGGGAAGGGTGGGTTGACTCCACTCCCAGGCTCCCCAATCACCCAGTTTCTCCCAGCCCTAGGACACAGAGCTGCCAAGGACCGAGTACAGCCAGAGGTGGCGCCTGAGGAGACTGGTGCGGGTGCAGGCCACGGGGACATGGAATCTGATTTGGGCTGAACACAAGGCCCCTGCCAGCGAGCCAGCAGGGACAGGTTACCTCCGCCGCCCAGAGTGCTGCCACTTGCTAAGCCTGCTCCGTGGCCTGGCCGTGACAGCTGCTCATGGGCCCCACTCACCCCTGGCTCAGAGCTTGTTTCTGTCACAGTGTACCTGTAACTGTACACACCTTGCTGGCATAATAAAAACCCAGCACCAGTGTGTTCCTAGAATGGCATTTGTGCAAGCTGTGTACACCCCTCGTGTTTGTCAGCCTCCCGGCGGTCAAACCCTCGTCAGTGCAATCTTAAGCAAGAGACCCTGCACCTAGTAGAGGGGATCCCCTGCAGCCTGTGAACTCGACCACTCCAGTGCACGTTCAGCAGCCAGGTTTACTCCACCTGAGCCTGGCGCCCAAGGGTCTGTCCTGTGACACAAGCTGGACCACGGCAGCAGCTGCCGGCCCCATCTGTGCCCCAGCCCTGTAAGGTCCTGCCAGATCCTTGTGTCACAGCTCAAATGTGGAGCAGCTGCCACTGCCCCAGTTTCCTGTTAGTGGAGGAGATGCTGGGCGACACGGAGCCCTGCCACCCAGTCTCTAGGAGAGAACCCTGTGACACTCATCATGCCAGCCTCTTTCCCCGGGGCTTGTGGACCTGTTTGCAGCAGCTATGTAAAACAGACCGCTGCTCAGTCTTGTTCCTTTAACTTGACTCTGGCTCTGGCTGCCTGCTTTTGGGTCTCCCATAGTTCCGATGGTGTTCAGGATGCAGAAAGCTCTGCACCAGGCAGTTGTTCCCACTCGAGACACAGCTGGTCTGTGGCAGGGATCAGAGGCTCAGTGGAGAGCTCTCAGTGCCTCAGAAGCCCATGCGTGGCCTCTTCCGCTGGGGCCAGGAGCCAGGCGTGGACCGCTGGGAGGGCATGGCTTGGACACTGGAGGCCTGGGAGGGGGGCGTGGCCACGTGTCTGGAGGTGGGGGTGTCCTTTGGCAGTGGCAGCTCCACCATGTTGTCCTGGGGGGTCTGCCGAGCAGACTCTTGGGAGTACGGGGTCACAGGGGGCTGGAGCCTGGCCTCTGAGGTTGTCCGCTCTAGGCTGTGAGGGGAGCTGCTGGTCTCCGGGAGGTCCAAGCAGCTGGTGAGTGAAGAGAAGGTGCTGGACAACTGACTCCGGCGCTTGGGCCGCTTGGCCTGCTTGCCCGGCTCCGAGATCGAGATCTTGCCCTGCTGTCTCTTACACCAAGCAGTGCCCTGGCCTGCCCAGGCTTCCTCCAAACGCTCACTGAGCTCATCCTGCGGGCCGGGCTCGGGGGCAGGGGGCGGCTCTGCTGAGGGGAGCAGGCCCAGGTCCCTCTGCTGCAGGAGCTGCCCCCCAGCCATGGCCGCCCGCAGACCCTGAAGCACTTTCCCTTCCACCTCCCGGGGTTCCAGGCGGCCCAGCAGGCGGCGGTGGGAAAAGGTGGGTGCGGCCCACACGGGGGCTGCAGGTGGCACCTGCAGTAGGGCCTCCAGCCAACGGCTGCAGCAGGCAGTGGCCTGCGAGGTCCAGGAGGGTGTGGGCCTTGGGTCCATGGGAGGCACGCTGGGTGCAGGAGAGTCGGGCCCGGGGTCGCTGGGAGGCTCCTCATCTCGGTGGAAGCTGGAAGCCGCTTGGAGAGTGAGGCGCTGGTAGAAGATGTCCCCAGCGGCTGAGAGCTGGAAGAGCCACACTGCCGGCGTGGAAGCACAGGGAGGGAAGGCAGAGGCCAGACCTGGGGAAGGAGCCATGATGACCCAGACCCGCAAGGCCCACGGCCCCGCAGCCCCGCAGCCCCCCAGCTCCGCACCTATGGTCGGCGCTTCCAGCCGCTCCTGCAGCTGCTTCTGGCTCTTGGGCTCCAGCAGGGGAAATGCGGACAGCGAGTCAGCTGAGGAGGGCAGAGACTGGGGGGGCCCTGCGAGTCGGGGTGCAGACGGCTCCTTTCCTGCAGGAGGCAGAGGGCTGAGGCCCAGGCCGCCTTCTCTCGGCCCAGCCCACCTCTCCATGGCCCAGGGCCCAGGCCTCACCTGTGATATGCAGCAGCTGCACCTGCCCACCTAGACCGCCCAGGAACAGGGGCTGTGGGGAGCCAGGGTGGGCGGGAGGCAGCAGGTGGGCCAGCAGGGCCGGGGAGGGGAGGCCGTGGTTCCACTTGAGCATCGGCACCAGGGGCAGGCGCTCATCCACCAGGTAGAGCGAGAACTGGGGCCGAGAAGGGAATGAGAAGAGGGGCTGAACTGAGACCGACATAGCGGTGCAGAGGCCCTGCCAGGGCCCAGGGCTCTCGGGGTTTCTGCAAACCCCAGGGGGATGGCACTGTGAAGAGGCCAGTCCTCCCCTGAACAGAAGGTGCCTCCTGAGCCGGCAGACGCAGGGAAGGGATGGAAGGACAGCATGACAAGAAGGGGTCTCTTCACACAGAAGCCACGTGGCCGTGTTCCACCTGTTCCATGCCCGCGGGCCCCGAGTCCCTCAAGTGACCTCAGAACTGCCCTGTGTCCACACACTGCAGGACCATCCCGCAGACGTCCCTGCCCCAGCGCCCCTCCTCGTCTGCAGTGCTAGTCTACCTGGGAAGCCTTCTGCGCCTGCCTGCAGGCTCAGGAGTCAGGTTTCATGTGGGCTTAGGCTGGCATGGAGAAGGGGATCTCCTCACCTGGGTACAGACAAGATGCAGAGTGGGGGGCAGTGACTCCGGGTCAGACTGCCGCAGGTACTGCGTGAGCAGGACACGCTCCCCCTTCTGGCAGGAAGCCTCGGCCCCTGCCCGGAAAAGCAGCAGACCGCACCCCGGGGGGCCCTGGGGAAAACACAGAATTAGTTTCTCCGCCATGCCACTGGCTGGCTTGGCTCCCCATCAGCTCCCGGTCGTACCTGAGTGTCGACCATTTTTACTCCAGTGCGGTCACCCACTGTCAGCACCCGCGGGTGCGCGGTGAAGTCTGCCCAGCGCCAGGAAGAAGGGTCCCGGAACACGAGGGTCTCAGGGTCCTTGTAGACCTGCTGCAGTCTTGGGGAGACAGGGAGGTGGTGGGCTGATGGCTGGAGGCAGGGTGTGTGGAGGTGGGACAGCAGACCGGTCAGGACATGCCGGGGAGGGAGCGAGGGTCATGGTGGCTGCAGGGTGGTGTGTGGGGGCAGGGCGTTACCCATTCTGGGGGGTCCACAGACAGACGGCTCCGGAACGGCTGCAGACGGCCAGCTCCCCGGGCAGGTGAGGGCTGCCATAAGGAGTGGTTAGGGTCGGCCAGGCGCCCTCCGCCTCCCCAGCACCCCACTCAACACCGCTCACCTGAGGCTGATCCCCGTGGCCCCCTTCTCGACCCGCAGCACCTGCAGAGTGGCCGGCCGCCGCTGCTTCCCCACCTTCCACACAGCACAGTGGTAGTCTGAGCGCACGGCCAGTAGCGCTGAGGGGGGACAGAGGGGTCAGGCTCGGCCAGCTGTAGGCCCATCACAGAGGGAGAGGGAGGGCCTTACTTTCTCCTTGGACAGTGCTGGTCACCACCTGTCGCACAGGTCCCTGGAGCTGGATGCACCCAGGATCCCCAAGGACCTGGGGGTCACCACCTGAGGGCAGACTGACCTCCTGGAAACCTGTGCCTCTGGCTAAGGAAAAGGGATGAACTCTGGCCACCGTAAGCCCCATCCTTCTCGCCCTATCCTCCCTCAATACCCCCGCCTGACGAGAAGGATACACAGCCTGTCCAGGGCGCCACCAGCCGGGTAGACCAGTTGGCCAACCTGTGAAGTCCTCCCAGGCAGCCAGGCCAGGGCGCCACCCGTGAAGGCCTCATCCAGGAGCAGCTGCTCCCAGCGTGTGGCCAGCTCCTCGTGCAGCAGCCTCCCCAGCAGGTGGGACACTGACTTGCCTAGCACAGGGCCCCCGACGATCGAGAAGCGCCGCAGGCGGTGGCTGAGGTAAGCCCAGGGACACCTGGGGATGACAGCAGCGGCTCTCGGGGTGGGGACGGGATTGGGGCTGGGCCCGTCCCGAGGGAGGCTGGGTGCGGAGCACATGCGCCTCATCTACCTAGTTGCCTTCTCTGGGCACCACCCACCCTGTCCCCTCACCCCAGGCACAGTCACAGGACCCAGACCTGGGCGAGCTCTCCACCGCCCCTGCACAGCGATTGGTTCACAGCTGGGCGTGAGACCCCTGCCAGGACAACCAACGTCCTCTCTGGGACTTTTGGTGTCTCAGGAAGGACAATGACTTTTTCCTTGGGATCATAAGCCATCTTGCTGCCACGTGACAACAGCTTTTCTAGGAATTAAGCCAGGCAGAGGGAAGCAGTGAGAAAATCAAAAGAGACAGAGCCCTGTTGACATTATTCTAACACCAGGACGCAGCTATGCGTGAAGTCCAGGGCCTGAAGTCCCTTTTCCCTTGGGCCAGCTGGGCTACCTGGGCCCACCTTTCCCACTAGCCACTTGCCCCCAGGGCTGGTGTCCACCGAGGTCCTGCAGCAGCTTCTTCGCACTGACCACTGTCATCTTCTTGGAGCGGTTCTGCGTGGAAAGGCCTTGTCAGGCTAACCTAGCCTGGATTTACCGAGCGAGGCGGAGGGGATGGGGCGGGAAGCAGGGGCCCTTTTCCAGCCCGGCAGAGCTTACTCACCCGGCCTCCCTCCAGTTTGAAATTTTCCAGCATCATCTTCCCCAGGGGCGCAAAGGCTATGTCCCCGTGATCCCACAGGAATCTGCTGAGCTGGGAGAGAAGAAGCCCGGTCACCATGCATAGCCCCAGCCACGTAGCGCCCTAGGCTGTGGGACCGCTCACCTGTTCGGTGACATCCAGCACAACCTGGGGCTGCCTCCGGTAGTGGAATCCGCCTCGGAAAAGGAGGTCCTGCGCGGTCACTCCAGGGTCCCAGGGGTCTGAGGGAAGAGGGAGGTGAGGGAAGGGGCTGGGGAAGCACAGGCCACTCGCAGGGCTAGAAAGGGCCACAGGCATGGAGGGAAGGGCTTGAGTGGTGACAGGAAGCTCAGGGGCCTGAGCGCCTCACCGGGACAGGGAGGCAGCAGTGGGAGGGGCCCAGGCATCGATGGCTCCCACAGCAGGGCCGTGGCCGAGTTCGGAGCTGCAATCTAGAGGGAAGAAAACCACCATGGTGACACGACGATCCTCAAAACCCAGCAACGTCGGTATGAGTGTCAGTGTCATTTCACTGATGCAGAAACTGAGGCACAGAAAGGCTGTCACTTGCTCAGGTGACAACTGGTAAAGAAAAGAGCTGGCGTATGAACTCAGGCACACAGAGCCCAGAGCCTGGGCTGTGCTCAGAGACAGGAGCACTTGGTGCAGTCATTTTTCCCAAGGGTCTATTTGTGTGCTCACCCATCCTGACCCAGTCCCCAGGGCAGGGATCGCCTGACCCACCCCGACTCATTGACACCATGTATGACTGAAGGGATCAGAGTCTGGGGGAGAGACAGGCAAACAAGCGGGAGCTGCAGCTCCTGTTGAGTGACACCTCTGTGGACAGCAGGGCAGCCCACACGTTTGCAGAGAGGGTTCCAAGGTGGCCTGGGTACTGGCATCTTGCACTGATGCTGCCACGCCCTATACCATGCCAGCGGGTGTGAGTGCTCACAAGGGGACGAGCGAAAGGGCCCACCCCGGAGCTGCCAGGCCCCTCCTTCCATCCTCACCTTGCAGTTCTGGGGTGGGGACTCTGGCAGGGTCAGGGCGTCTCTCCAGCTGCACATAAAGGACAGGTCGGGGACATCACTTGAACCAAGGGGACCGGTCATAAACAATGAGGGGGGGAGGGAGCTGGGGAAGTCCATCCTGGAAAACAGCACCCAGCGTCACAGCAGCTCCTCTGAAAAAGGCTCCCAGAGCTCCTGGGGAGACACAAAATGCCCTCAGATGGATATTTTCTCTGAGGAACAATTACTAAGAATCGAATCCACATGCAGCCTAATACTAGGGAGCAGCAAACACTACAGAAAAACCAATCATGCCCAGGTGCTGGGAGGGTGTGGCTGGTGCTGGGCAAGGGGACAGTTTTGGTAACAGGAACTGGGAAAAGCCTGAACCCAGCAAAGGAGCCGGTCACGCATGCCCGGGAGGCGGCTCACGTCAAATGGCCTGCAAATGCCGAAGTCCTGGAGCAGAAACGTGAGGCAAACAACCAGGTCACCGAACAAACAAGGAGAGTGGGGAGGGGTGAAGTCAGTAGCTGGGGTGGGGGCAGCTCTGTCACAGGGACATTTGTAAGGCTGCACTCCAGTTCCCAGCAGCCAGGGAGTGAATCTCACCCAGCTGTCTCCCTACTGTTGAGCACGGTGCTTACCAGAAAACGCACCGTGTTCAATAAAAACAAACTTACATCAAGAGCTTTGCTAAATATACAGCCCTCAAGGAGCATAAACAGCTCCATCGTTCTTTATTATAAAGACAGCAGGACCACTGAACACCAGCCCCAGCCAGACACGGTGCCCAACACTTTGTTCTTCTAGTGCCCATATTTGAGGTTCAGCATCCTAAGAGCCAGGAAGCAGCATCTCACTTAAGTGTGACAGCAGTCCCTGCCAGAGCCTGAATCCGATGCCAGTGCTGTGAGCCCTACTCTCCCGGGCACCTAGAGGCAAACACCAGCATTAAGCGTCTTGGTGAGCCAAGATCTGTCCTCCTGGGGCCTCCTGCTGCATCTTGTCAGTATTTTCCGTGTGAGGGCGGAGCCTGCATTTGATTCGCCCCTGAGGCCCTGGTTGGCCCTTGTCACTTTCCTTTCCCTAACAGGAGGAAATGGCAGCAGGGATGGAGGAAGCGTCCAGTGAACCCCTGTGAAAACATCGCTTTCACAGGACTGACAGCACCCATGCTTCCCAGGGGAGGCTGCATCCCTGAGGAACTGGAAGACGCACAGAAAAGATCTTCATCGGCCTCTGGGCTCCAAGCACACTGATCTCTTAGGCGCTTCCTTGCCTTGCTATTTCTTACCACAGGGTCTTTGCTCATTCTGTCTGTCCCGAGGTGAGCTGCTGAAGCTGAATACACGTGCAGGGCTGTGCAAGGCCGGGCATGGCTGAATGAGGAAATGCCTCAGGGGCAAGACAGGCCACAGCTGAGGCCACCTGGAGACTTTCTGGGTAGTCCTTAGTTAGCATCTTCTGTTACTTGGAGGAGTCCTTGAACCCCTCCCAAGGTCCTGCTCAGGTTTCCTGAGTTTTCCACTCTAACCCCTTCCTTGTTTGAATGCTAAATAAATACGGGCTGCCCAGAGGCTTTGTCTGTCTCAGTCACCAGAATTAAGAACTCTGCAGAGGGTGTTGGTCCTCCTAGCACCCACTAGATCACACTGCTTGTCTCATTTGTTTGTGCCTTTACCATGCACTTGTTTGGGAGATGGGGGATCTAGGCACAGACCCCAATAGACTCACAGAAGTCTGAACCTTGGTCATTACGGTACAAAAACTCCTAGACAATCTACTTTGGGGCACCCTCCTAACTAATGGGAGCTGTTTTTTTCTTTCTTTCTTTTTTGTGACAGTGTTTCACTATATATACAGTTTTAGGCAGGTCTCAAACTCACTGTGTAGCCCAGGTTGGCCTTGAACTCACAGGGATTCTCCTGCTTCAGCCTCCTGACTGCTGGGATTACAAGCATGTGCCATCACGCCCAGCCTATTTTCCTATTCTTAATTCCTCCTTTCGACTTCATTCTCTGACCTCTTGAGACATGGACCCAAATCACGACACTACGAAGGACCCTGCCCCATGACACTCCCATGACACTCCCACTACACCTTGCCTTCTCCAGCCAGAGCCGGAACAGCAAACTGTGATGAGATTTTTAAAGACGGAGCTGTCCGATTAAAACTGTCCTAACAGGCCTCATGTGAAGGGAACTCTGTAGCCCTCCAAACCCTTAGGGAGTCCTATGATGGTAACAATCAGAACACGAAGGGCAGTTGGAGGAATGTATGAATGGAAGGAGAAAGGTCGCACCAACCCAAAAGAGCCCAGGTAGGCGAGGGCGCCTCAACAAAGCCCCCAGACGAGGCAGCCTCGACCTCCCCTGACCACTTGGCGCCCCCGCCGGTGCTCCCCAGGGCCCCAGACCCCCGCTCCAGGGAGGCAGAACCCGGCCGGGTCTGCATCAGCGCCAGGTTGGGGCGCACGCGGGCCTGGCGCAGCCGACCCGGCTTCGGGCACCGCCCACCCCGCCGCTTCCGCGTGCTCGCGAACAGCGGAGGCTGCGCGTACACTTACGTGGCCGGACTTCGGCGTGCTTGTCGGGGAAATGGATTCCTCCGAGACACTCGCCGGACACTCGTGCCACAGGGGTGCCCACTAACAGCTCCCCATCAGTGGCGCTCACCTCGCATCAGCCCCTAGGGCAGCAGTGAATGAATTTCCCCGCCAGGCCGGAAGTGCTCCCTGGGTGACAGGAAGTCCCGCCTCCCGGTCAGACCACACAAGCGTCCTCCATCGCCACCTACCGAGCGGAAGTGGAACGGCAGTAGGAATAGATTCCACGAGGTCTTAAAATTGGAACACCAGGTTAATTTGGATTTGAAGCTCACTTCTGCTTTACCAATTTCCTATCTCAAACTTGTTGTGAAGACTAAGTTAATTCACTCAACGAACGCTGAGCACCTACTACTATAAGCCAGGCACTGTATTAGTCTCACGTACTCCCCAGCTCATCCTTAAATCCTAAGGAGCTGGCTTAACAAAGGCACAAATGCCCTTGGATGTGAGGTTGTCCGAGGGGTGCCCAGGTGGGGTAGCTTTAGGCAGTGGTTCCAAAACTCTAGCACACATTGGCAGCCCTGGGGGTGGGGCAAGTCATGTTTAAACTCAGTGTCAGATTGAGGCTAGAGTGAGGCCTTCTGCCTCCCGCTTCCTAAGTGATGCCGATTCTGCTTGTGTGAAGGCCACTTCCGCACACTCTGGGATTAGGGTTAGGGCAAATGCTCATGATTCTCCACCCTCTGCTTCTGGGGTAGCTGGGACTTAGAGGTCTGCACCACCATGTCCAGCATGAGGGCCGCACTTTGAGAAGCACCATCCGATCACAAATCTTACCACTGTTCTAGCCCAAGACTCCTCTAACGTCTCTGTGCACCTGAGTCATTGGGAGAGTTGTTAGAACAGTTCGCTGAGCCCCAGCACAGAATTTTAGATTCAGTAAGTCTGGATGTGGCTCAATTATTTGTTTTTAATAAGTACCCAGGTGAATCTGATGCTGCAGGGCCCACACTCTGAAAAGCACCTTTTTAAATGATCAATTTGCAGATTCTCAACTTCTGTTTCTATATAGTTTCGATTGGGGGTGTGTGGAATCTGATGGCCCTTGCCTGTCTTCCCCATTTACTCCTTTCCCACCGTGGAGCACTGGCCTAGGGCAGTGCTGAACCAGAGGGTGAGTCTAAAGAGTAGACGTCTTATGGGACAGGGCCCCCGTAAGACTAAGTAAAGAGGGTTCAGTGAGAGAAAACAATGGAAGGGTGCAGAAGGATATTTGGGGGGCTGACTATGGTTTCTTCATCAGACAGACAGATGAGTGCAGCGTGTGAAAGTTCAATGAATGATCTGGACATGGAGATATGTTATACTTCCATAAAAAGTCTTTTCAAGAGAGAAAAGAAAATACTACTGGCCATGATGCCTTCTCCTATCAACACTTGGAACTCTTGGTTAGGCTACGGACTTGTAGCCACCACTTAGAATTGAGAAGTCTCCTACAAGGTCAGGAAGACTGTGTGGATCGGGCCCTGTTGTACCCTAATAACTAGAAGAGCAAATCCTCCTTAAAGACTGAATCTGTGCAAGAGGGAATGAAATGAGACGGTTCTCCTGGGAAAATGTCAACACATTTGTCTAGAGTGAAAGATGAAGTCTTTCTCATAGGAAGTGGGTCTGGTTCAGCTGACTGGTTTGACTCAGGACGAGCTTTGCCATTTGATTGAGACTGCATTTTTTATAAATAGAAGAGTGAAATGGCATCTCTACGTTTTGGGTAAAAATATCTTTAACCCAGGTGATTGTAACATAATAAATCAGAAATTACATCTTTGTAACTATTTACACTTGTGATGAAAGATCTAGGGTCCACAGGTTTTCACAATTATTTTAGGGTGTACATGTGCAAAAAAAAAAAAAGGAGGGACACAAATCAGTTTCCTGTTGCTGCTGTAACAAGCTACCACAATCGAATGGCCTAAGACAACACAACATCTTACACCGCTTGAGTCAGGCTAAGGCCTCAACAAGGGCAGTGCCGCCTCTGGAGGCTCTAACGGGAGAATCCCTTGTCCTCTTTTTCTAGTTCCAGGAAGCTGCCTGTGTTCCTCGGCTCAGACCTCCTTCCTCTTCAAGACCAGCACTGAGAAGTCACATCTTCCTGACGCCACCTCTGGGCTAGCGCTCTTCCCCATTCAAGGACCCTTGCGAATCCGTTGGATCCACCCAGATAACCCAGGACCCTCTTGGTTGTGGGTTGTTTCTAGATGTCTCCCCAAAGCCTCATACACTCCCGGGTGGAGCTCTGGGAGAGCCAATTTTTGGTTGCCTTTTTTAGATTAAGACACTTTTTAGATTAAGAAGTTTTGAAATGTGGATGCTAATAACTCAGTGTGGCTGCTACCGTGTCCACAGGTGCCCTTAGTGGACGAGGACCCACTCTCAGGGGGTCAAGTGGCTATGAAGGACTGTGCTTTGGTGGTGGCCTGGGGCAGGAGCCGCCCTATGAAGCCCACAGAGCATCTTCACTTCTTCCCTTGCCCATCCACGGTTGAAGAGGTTGGGCCCACAGCCCCGCCCAGCAGTGGAAAGCTGGCCTAGTGGCTGTTCAACCTCCCCTCCCCCACCTGCGCTCTTCCCATTGGCCAGTCGTACCATCCGGCTCCCTCTCTGTGCACTCTCATTGGCTAGAGCTAGCAGAGGCGGAGCTCGCTGGCAGGCACGTGGCATAAGCACCCGAGCGACGCGTGTGTAAAAAGGCCTGGGCAGCGCGAGATCTGGTCTCCTCCCGGTCCGGCCCTCGTTTCTCGCCATGGCTTCTCAGGCCTGCAACGTCTCGGGCTCCGACGACTGCGGCCGCCGGAAGCCCCGCCTGGCAGCGTCGCTGCAGATCAACCCCGCGCCCAGCTCCTGGCGGTCCTCAGGCACCCCGGGGGTGGATGCCAGGGGACTCCTGTCCGGCCCCGAGGCGGAGGGGGACGCGCAGGGCCGCCGACGGCCCCAGGCCTCGGCTGCGGCAGTGGGGATCGGTGGACCCCGGGCCGAGGCTGAGACCTGCGGGGAGCGCGAGGCCTCGCGGGCTGGGGACAACGCGGGGGGCGGGCTGAGGACAGCCCCGAGGGTGCCTGTGCCACCCACAGGGCCCGCAGGGGACCTCCTGAAGGTGAGCGGGCAGCTACAACTGCCGCCGTCCAGCCAGGCCGTGACCTTGCTGACGCAGTACGCGGAGGCGGTGGGCGCCGCCCTGACCTTCCGAGAGGACCCGGCTGCAGGTGAGCTGGGGAAGGGGCTGGCCATGCGAGGGGCAGCGTCTCCAGCCAGGGTTCAGGGCCCGTGGGTGTCGTCATGGTCACCAGGAGAGGGTTGGGGTGCTGGGCCTGAGCCTGGGCCTCCACTGAGACCCTGGGGTCACGGGTCTGCCAAACATCTTTCAGATGTGGTAGGATCATAGCTTGCGTGAACATTATCGCTACTCAATGCCTTTTTTTGGACTCAGGATCTACGCAGTTTAGGCTAGCCTTGAACTCACTTTGTAGCCTACGTTGTCCTTAAACTTGCAGGGATCCTCCAGCTTCGGCCTTGTACATGGTAGAATCACAGGCGTGCCCCACCTAATGTTGACGCAGTGGTTACTCCCACCCCCTGCCCCCAGAGGACTGAACTCACGACCTTGCGCTTGCCAGGCAGGCACTGTGCTGCTGAGCTCTATCCTCGGTCCTGCACACTGTTTCAAAGGTCTGGTGATACGAATTTATCATAGCCACAGCAGTATGGGAGATTCCTGAATGAGGCCAGACTTAAAAATACCGAACACAGCTGGGTAAGGGGAATGCTATACACCCAGCACAGACCTTTTCCCTTCTTGAATAGGCCCCCAGCCCTCCGACTCACAGTTCCAGGGTAAAAGTTAGTTTCAGCCACCATTCTCCATACCGAGAGACACGAGTGCGTGTTTCTTAAGAATATACTGCAGAACCGTAGTATAACGATCACCTTGTGGAAGTTTAATAAATGCGACTCGAGATGCCATTGTATTCACTCTTCCCACCTTTGGTCTTCATGCTGAGCTCCGTGTGAGCCTTTTTGGTTTTCTTATTTTTGTTGAATTTTTTTCTTCTGCTCACCACTCTGCCATTTTCCCGGAAGTCTATTGACTCCTTAATTTTAATTTTGTGCTCCATGTTTGCAGCACACAACACTTGCATCCATCACGGGGAGTGGGTGTATGTACATAGCACATCCCAATTCTCTGCACCTCCCTTTCCCTTCCCTGCCCTCCAGCTCCCCGTCCTCCGTCTCTCAGCGACCCTGACCTTGGTATTTTTGAAGCATAGTGGCTGTTGGTCCTGTTGACTGTCCTCCAGTTTGAGCATCTGTTTTCTTAGGATCAGGTTCAGTCTGTGCAACATGTGCTTGTCCACCAGGGGTCTTGTGACCTCAGTGCATCTTTCAGCTGGCATGGGAGTCATGGGGGCTCAGGGGCATTTGCAGGTGTCTTTGCTTTCCCCCTTGTGCTCAGTAAGTCATCTGCAGCCGTGTAAATGTCTTGGCATCGTGTAAACATCCTGTCCTGTAGCACAGTTGGCTCTGTAGTTTTAGCATTCAGACACAGTCATGACGGATTCAGTTGTTACTTCCATGGCTGCCACATGGTGGTTTTCTAATGTGACATGCTTTCTGCGTCCATCTGTGCTGTACTTGCTGCTCTGAACACCCACTGGGTTGGTGCATCTCAATGCCAAGCAGGGCTGCCAAGGTGGGTTCCCTTCCTAAAGGCGAGGCCCCTGGAGAGACTTTAGCAGCAAGTCCTGCGAGCGCTACCCTTTGACCAGGTGACCCCAGTTGTAGGGTTTTCATCTGTCTGTGTCCTGATCTAAGTAGCACATGAAATGATGGTGTTGGAGAGAAAAATCTCCCAAATTTGGGATCCCCAAGAAGAAGAGAAAGAAAAGGATGTGCCTGGCACCCAACAAGAAGCCATCTGGGTGCTCCGGGGCCCAGGTCCTGAGACTGGTGCAGCACAGGCTCCCGAGTTGGCCTGGATTTGGGTCCTGGCCCTGCCCGGGGCAAACTGCCTGCCTTCTTGTACCTCCCTGTACAGGGAGTGGCAGTGGCTGTTGTCCACAGCATCCCCAGTGAGGGAGGGCTGGTCGTCTCCCTGCTTGTCCTGAAGTGGGTGTCAGGAGGGTGCCCAGGCACAAGTGGCTGTGGGTCCTTTTTTGGGCTGGGTGTGGTGGACCCCTAAAAGGGCCCTTCCCTCATACCTCCTTCCCCAGGTCCTGGCTCCCAGTTCTCTGTGTGTGCAGAGCTGGACGGGGTGGCATGTCTTGTGGGTACAGCGAACACCACCACAGGGGCCAAACAGCAGGCAGCGCTCGATGCCTTGGGCTATGTCCCGAGCCAGCTGGAGAGCCCAGGTGACCCAGCTCCCAGGCAGGAGGTGCAGGATCTCCAAGGTAGGCTGAAGCGGCAGTGGGCTGCCTGTAGGGGACAGAGGCCCCGGCATCCACAGCTGGGGAAGCGGGCTGACCCCTGCTCTGGGGTCCTTGGAATCCTGCCCACGTGGGGGGCAGCACCACAGGCAGGTAGAGCAGGTGGGGCCTTTCTGTGTGGAAGGTGGACACTTACGTCCTCTTCTCCTTAGCTTCCTGAAGGACAGGAGGTCAAGCCCAGCACCCATGACAGCCAGCTCCCCCTGCCTCTCTTTCAGAGACCTCCGAGACCCCCTGCCAGCCTCCACTCACCCCCCTGAACGTAGGTAGGTTGATTCTTGCCCAAGCCCTGGATGCAGGGGAGCAGGCAAGACCTGCAGGCCCCAGCGCTGCCCTGTGGCTCCCGTACAGAGAACATCCTGCCCCATGAGCTGCGCTGCGCGGCTGTGGTCAGCGCTGGCTTGCACCGTCTGCTAGGCGAGCACTCGCCCTACTGGGCCTGCACGGGGACAGTGGCTGCGGTCATCCTGGAGCGCGGTAGGGCTCCCTCTGTCCCCTGCCCCACCTCAGCAGGCCCCACCGGGCCTCTGTCCTGGGCTGAGCCTTCTCTCCTTCTTGCACAGAGCTCCCCAGTGCCAAGGGCTACACCAAGGAGATCTATGACCTGGTGGCGCTGGGCACAGGCAATAGCACCTGTGCCGGTTGGCTGGAGTTCTCAGGCCGGCAGCTGCACGACTGTCACGGTCTGGTCATTGCCCGCCGGGCCCTGATGAGGTGAGGGCAGGTGGGGCAGGCTCTGCTGCAGCCCCTTGGGACAGTGGTTCCAGCTGGCCCTCCGCCTGTCACTCCAGGTTCTTCTTCCGGCAGCTGCTGCTGGCCACGAAGGGGGGCCTCAAGGGCAAGGAGCGGTCTGTGCTGGCCCTGCAGCCTGGGCCCTGGCCCCTCTTTGCCCTCAAGCCCCGGATCTTCCTGCACCTCTACGTCAGCAACACTCCCAAGGGAGCAGCCCACGACATCTAGTACGTGGGTTCCCTGAGGCTGGGGGTCCCCCGCGCAGCTGTCTGAGGAGCCCAGCTCAGATCGTGCTCTGTCCTCTCCGCAGCCTCCCACTATCCTCGGAAGATGGCCTCCTGCTCAGCTCCTTCCGCCTGCAGGCCCACATCTGTGGGCAGTTGAAGCCAGTGTCCTACGTGGCACACGCGCTGCGTGACACCCATGTGGGCTGCCTGTCAGTCAGCGACAAGCTGGCACGCTGGGCCGTGCTCGGGCTGGGTGGCGCCCTGCTGGCCCACTTCCTGCCGCCTCTCTACGCCACCAGCCTCGTCCTGGGTGAGGGGCAGCAGGGGTGCCGGGGCGGAGCGGGCTCTAGGGATTTCAGGGTGGCGCTGACTGTGTCCTGCACCTCTATCTCCAGCAGACACCTGCCACGACCCTCGGTCTTTGCACAAGGCCATTCACGACAGGCCCAACCTAGACAGCACCTCAGGGGGCCTGCCGCCTCCCTACGTCCGCACCACCCTGCACCTGTTTTCAGGCCCCCCTGTGGCCCCCTCCAACCCTGTCCCCAGCACCTCCCACGAACTGAGTCTTAACTGGAGCCTGGGGGACCCCGACGTGGAAGTTGTGGACGTGGCCACTGGTCGCGTGAAGGCTGAGTGAGAAGGGCCCCGAGGAGCTGGGTTTGGGGAGGCCTGGGGTCGGGGTCCCCACTCTGCCTGGCTGCCTCAGAGAGGGTGTGTGTGGTTCTCACCTTGCAGTTTAGCCCCTTGTGGGCGGGCAGTGGCCTGCACCTGTGACTTGATACCGTCACATGATGAGAGTGAAGCATGAGCCAGACCCACTGCAGTGTCCTCCCGTGACCTCTTCATGTCCCCTTGACCTAACGTGTCCCCTCAGGGCCGCCCCTGGGCCTCCCTCCCGCCTCTGCAAGGCTGCCTTCCTGCGGGCCTTCCGCCAGGCCGCCGCTGCTCTGGACAAGCCCCAGCTCCTGGCCCTGAAGACCTACGAGGCTGCCAAGGTGGGTCCTCCCCCTGCAGCCCCCCTGCCTTCCTGTGCCCCACGAGCGTCCTCTCACCTCTCCTGCCCTCTCTTCGCCCAGGTCGGACTCTACCAGGAGGCCCGCCAGCGGCTGTCCCTCCTCCTAGATCAGCAGGGCCTGGGCTCTTGGCCCTCCAAGCCACTGGTGGGCAAATTCAGGAGCTGAGCTGTGGGTTCAGGGGACCGAGATCCTTGCAGGGCCGCACCCCTGGGGAGGGCCCTTTGGGAGCAGTTCGGAGTTTCCGGGGTAAACTGGAGGCTGCGGATGGGCTGGGGGTGCTGCCCCTTCAGGGCCTGAATAAAGAACCAGTTGATGGTGTTTCTGAGTGTGTGTATGTTGGGGGGTAGCCAGAGGGCAGTCAGTTTGGGAGGAGAACCTTTACCCCTCTCTGTGAGTACCTGATGTCTGCTCAGCACTCACCCGGATCCACTTCCACAGTCACCGTGTTCTCGAGAGCCCCAACTGACCCCCAGGAGCAGCTTGGAGGAGGGGGATCCCTGCCGTTAGCCCGTGTGCGGGGCTGTGGTGGGGCCCTGGCCGCCGCCGGCAGCACAGGTGCAGGGCTGTGTGCTGAGGAGAAGCCAGCTCCTTCCTTTCCAGGGCTCAGGCCAGGGCAGCAGCCAGGGACACACAGGCCCGTTGTGGCTTCTTGAGGACGTGCTGTGGGTCTTGAGTGGCCCCAGGCTGAAGGCTGTGGGCTGGGCGGTGGCATTGGCCATTGTCGCCCTGGATCACCCAGTTGTTGAAACTGGTCAAGTCCTATGGCTTCCAGAGCCCACTTGCTCCTTTATCCAGTTCTGTGCTTCTCCCTGCTCCCCTGTGGGGCCCAGCAAGCCAGCAGGGTGATGGGCACTCTGCGGCCCTTGCAGGGGACAGAAGAGGGTACACAGTTCTGCAACCCCATCAGCCGGGGGCACAGCGGCCTTGAAATCCCTAGCCCTGGGGTCAGGGCTGGTTGAAGACCATGGCCAACCCCAAGCCCCAGCCTTACAATCTAAGGTTCCTGGTCCCCAGCAGTTTCAGGGTTCAGAACCATGTTACATGGTTGCAGCCGGGCCTTGGAAAACTGGCTGAGGCTGGCATGGGGACCTGTCCCTTGTGTTGATGTGGCTATGCCCAGAGCTGCTCCCAGAGCTTCACTTCCCAGTGGGCCCAAGAGGTCCCTAGGAGACTGGGTAAGGAAGTTGGCTGTTCCCAAGGTGGCCAGCACCTCAAGACCCTCCCCCCCCAGAGCTGAAATAGACCAAAGGGCCAAGGAAATAGCCCATCTCCCTTGCTGGGATGTCCATCTACCCCTGCCCCTGGCTATCAGCTCCTGCCCCTCAGGCCTCCAGGCTGGAATCAGAACATTGACCAGTGGTCCCTGGGTCCGTGGACCTTTGAATTAGGATGAGGACAATATGACCAGCCTGTCTAGCCCACAAGTCACAGGACTCCTCAACTCCCACAGTGGTGTGAGCTGACCCTCCTAATCAGCCATCCTGTGGATCTCTGTGCGGCTTACTGGTTCTGTTTTTCTGGAGAACCTTAACCAGCATAGTGCCCTCAGAGCTCTCATGCAGGGCCAGATCAGTCCTGATGGGGAGCCCGAGACTGGGTCCTCTCCCTTCAGCCTGTCCGTGCCACTGGCTGTGTGGTAGTGGCCAGCACATGGTGAATGTGTCTGGAGAGACATGGCACGCGGGCAGCTACAGAATCAACCAGAACCTCATTGAAAATACTCAGGAAAAAATGCGGATGGGCTGGGGGTGCTGCCCCTTCAGGGCCTGAATAAAGAACCAGTTGATAGTGTTTCTGAGTGTGTGTATGTTGGGGGGTAGCCAGAGGGCAGTCAGTTTGGGAGGAGAACCTTTACCCCTCTCTGTGAGTACCTGATGTCTGCTCAGCACTCACCTGGATCCACTTCCACAGTCACCGAAAATACTCAGAAAAAATGTAGATTTTCTGTTGTCAGACAATATAGTATCCAGCTGTTTACACTGTGTTAAGAGACTATAAGTAGCCTTGAGGTGACAGGAGGCATTTGGGGACGGCTGGGGTATAGCTCACTGACAGCATTCACTTAGAGTAACATTCTAGTTCCATCCCCAGCATCTCAAAAGTAACAACAACAAAATCGGGGGGATGTGCAGGAGCTACTGGAGCCCAGCGCCATTTTATGTAGGGACTTGAAATTCTCAGGCTTTGGTGATCTCTGCAGTCCTGGGCCCCATCCAAGGTAACATAAGGGAGGACGAATCCAAGGGCCACTTCCCCTTCCTGTGGAGCCATAGCTGCTGCACATGGGATGCACCCGTTAGCTTTCCTGTTGCAGGGACACACACCAGACACCTGTGTCTTGGAGTGGGCCAGGTTTAATTAGGCTCACCGTTTCAGGGCTCTCGGTCCGTGGTTGACCGGTTCCACAGCAGGACTGTCATGGCGGAACAGTGTGGTGCAGGAAAGGTTGCTCACCCCATCGCAGCTAGGAAACAGCATGGCAAAAGCAACAGCAGGGGCATTACCTTTCCAGGCCCAAGGCCTTCCACGGGCTGTTCAGTGGACTCTCTCCGCACCCACCCAAGAGGTGTGACCGCAGCCCCGCTGTACAGGGAGGAAACCACAGGGCGAGCTGTGACCTCTCCTGAAGTGCACACACATGCTGCCTGGTGTCTGGACCCCCTGCTCCCCCACCTCTGTCACTGCCCGGGCTGCTGTTGGACCCCCTTCCATAACCTTTGATGTAGTTCTACCCAACTTACTGATTTATAGAAGGAGGACTGGGCGATGTCATTGCTGAGGTCCCTTTCTGGCTTAACCACTTTCTGCCCTTTCTTGAAAGCCACAAGAGGCCAGAGGCCACCCAGGGAAGAAGCTGCAGGGTATTGGGCTGGGGAGGTGACATCAGAGCTAGAACCCCATCACCAGGGTGAGAAAAATGGGTGCTGAGAGAGGAGCTGAGTGGGGGATCCACCAAGAAGGAGAGCCGAGTGTTCAGGGTTACCAGGGGGAGGGTGGTGCCCTGCCAAGGGAGAGACAAGCAGGGGCAAGGCTTGAACCAGTGTTGGGTATTTCTTAAAAATTGGGCCAGCTTTGAAATAATTACGTCCTGTGGTTATAATGTTTCAGGGCTTTATAAATACCCAGGCCTATCAATTAGCCCATTTATTCCCCATTGTTTACCCCGGGAGATACTTTAATTTGATTGATTATTCATACTGAAATAGTGAAGAAAAGCACCAGCCGTCCAGACTGGCGCTCCCTATGGTGGTCATCAATCACATAATTGCTGGGTAAACAAGTTCTCTGAAGTGACATTAACTGTGCTCTGCCAAGAAAGAACGATGTGTCCCCAGGTTGCAGATGTCCGCCTGGCCAAGCTTTTGCTCCCCAAACGGTCTTTTCATTACACAGCATTTGCTTGTTTCTTTGACTCAGCTTCTAATCAAGAAGCAGGGTGATGATAATGGCCACTTCTTCAACGGAGAATCTGTTAATGGCTTCTTGGCCTAAGCCCCTCCGGTGACGGATGACGTTTTGCTGACAGTAGCGTCTTAAAATTGGGAGGTGGTGTGACCCAGCTTGGCACTCAGGAGCGCTATTTCCTCAGACGGCCTCGCTACCCTCGCCCCTCTTCCTGGTGGCCTGGGCTCTGGAGTCTTGGCTGGATCCTGGGCGTCCTTTGCACTTTACTGTCCCTGGTGTCACTAAGTGGAAGGGTGGACCTGGGAAGCCAAGGGCCGCTCACCTCAGTTTCCCCATCCGGCAAGTGAGTGAGAGCTGTTTACAAATATGCTGCAAGGTTGTGGCGATACTCACGAGGAAGTGGGCTGGATTTGTTCTTGGCTCCCAGAAGCGCCAGGCAGCGGCTGTCATTGGACCTGTCTGCCGTCAGCCCCAGGGTCCAGCTCCTCTTGCAGGGGCTCCCACAAAGTGCCTGACAGACAAGCACTGAGTGGAAATTGGCACGTAGAAGTGTCTCCCTACAGAAGGGCTCAGGAGGGAACAGAACCCTGTTCTTCTAGATGGGAAGGCCCTTTGAAAACATCCCTCCCACAGAAGCAGTCACCAAGGACCTTCTGAGAAACAGAGTCCAAAGAAGAGGGTCTGAAGATTTTCATCCTGCTCCTTGGTTTGGGAAATTAGCACTTAAAAACCTAAAATGTAATTTTAAAGAATATTTACAGAACATTCATTTTCTTGGGTATCTGCACAGAAAGAATGGGGATGGGTCCTTCCTTACACACCACACACAAATCAGCACAGCTCAGCTGTTACACCTAACATCAGAGCTAAAGCCGGGGCTGCATGCTTATCCTCTCCACTCTACCATATGCCGCCAGCCCCCTCCACCATCCTGCCACACACCCAGACCCGACTGCTTGTCCCTGCCAGTCTACACTTGCTCTACAGAGAGGCAAGAACAAAATTCATGGTCTGAGCCATGTTCCTCTCTCAGTCAGACCTCTGCCAGCGCAGCCAGTGTCTGAGCTCTTCCTCTTCAGACTCATAAAACACCCATTTTTCTCCAACTCAATTAAAGTTAACTTTAAACCCCTTGACTGGACATTTCCCTTCCCTCCAGGAGGTTAAATTAACAAACCTTACAATGACTGCTTGCCTTTAATGGGGGACAACACCTAACAAAAAGCAATTTACACTTGTGCTAAGACTGATATAACTGATCATCTTTTCTCGGTGTTCAACAACTCACGTAGAGAGACCAGAACTAGAGAGATATCTGGGCCAAAATGCAGCCAATGACCTTGACCCTCCAAGGTCACTGAAGACCCAGGACATGAGAACATTTTCTACAGGATCCTGCGATCTTGGTGAGTCACTCAATCTCTTGAGCAGGGAGACTGCTGGGCCCCAGAGGATAGATCAGCAAATGTACGGAGTACAAAAGGGACAGACAAGAATCTCCATGGCTTCACAGCAATCAACATGGTCAACAAATACTGTGACCTGTCCTGGAAGCTGACACTAACAGAGTTACAAAAGTAACACCTGAAGAAGCTTACCTGGTCTGTTGGGAGCCGCGTCTGTGATAGCTCGCCTTGCGCGGCGGACGTGCGGCCTGTGGTAAAGAGCAAAGCCTGGGGTAGATTACCCCTCCCATCGAATATGTTAGTTTCCTGCTTACCGCGTAAACAACCCGCTCAACAATATAGTCTGCCTGGCAACTGATGATGTTAGCCAATCAGCTTGCCTTGCTTACTTTAACATGATTGGACACTGTACCCGTATATATACCGGTGCCACCCCTGGGCGGAAGAAGAAGCCAGGTAGAAGCCCAGAAGTAAAAGCCCAAAAGGAGCCGCGGAGAGCGGACCGGTAGAGGCTTTG